GTTAAATAGGTAAATCGAATGGTAAGAGAAGAACAATGACAATTAAAAAAAAATCAATATGAATCACATCATTTTGTATAATAAATCAATATTATCAGGGTGTGTTCGAACTTTCGTATAGGAAGGACTTTGAAAATATTTCATTTGCAAAATGTCAATCAATCGTTTCAGGCTTCATTGTTCTTTCGTTTCCACACCAATCATCCTTTGTTCTCGTTCTAATTTCTTTCATCTTCCTAACCTTCTGCCTCCAGGCACTTCTTTTTCTATTGGTGATGCATACTACTTATAGCTCTCGACATTAATTGCATACACCGGAGTATAATCTGTACAAATATGATCAGCTTTTTTGAGTATCACTTTTATCAAGTCCTGTTTAAATTGAACTGGACAATAACTGCAAAAATTAAGATATTGTCCTGTTTATGTAGGCTTTCTCTAGACAAATTTTTTGGTTGAATTATCTTATTTTCTACCGGTGAACATCTCTAAAAAGGGAAGTTAGTTGTTTCTCTCTTCTTTAAATTAATTGATTGTGGTTCTAAAATGCCAAGTTTAATTAATAAATAATTTCGGTGTTCCGTTTTGTCATAAATGTACAATTCACATATCTCTTATAAAGGCATACGTCTTAAATTAGGCCCTCAGCTAAATTTCGACATATGACTAGCACATCACCTAATAATGATCCTAAAGGACTACTCATAGAATCCCTACCAATCTGTTAGACGCTTTCACAATGAATTAAGAACTCAACTATGTCGGTGTATATTAGTAATGAATCTCCAATAATTTCTAAAAGAATAGATCATCCAAGATTATTCGAATATATGAGATAATCTTTTCATATAGTCTTTTTAAAGATAAATTTGTAAAGAGTGGGTTTACATAAAAAAATTGATTGTTTATCCTCACTACTATTAGTAGTAAACATTTCACATAGACATTTTTCAGAATAAATGTTAACGATATGATGGATTAATTATACCTTTTTATCACCCAGGAAATCAAAACAACTAAGTGTGAACTCATTTCGCCAAACAACAGTACTTATTAGAGAAACAAGCTTATAGTAATCTCTCAACTATAAATCTTCAACTGCATTTTTAAGTAAAGTATGTTGATCGTTCCCAGGAGATTTTTGTGAAGTATACGAGATCTGTGACAAATGTTTATCAAATCTGAAGTTAAGTCAAATAAAAACTGAAGCTCTACCTCTGGGATTTAAATTCCATATCCCTAAAACAAGTACTAAAATGACTGATACAGAAGCTAAATCCGAAAATTCAAATGATGAATTGGAAGATGCAACCAGTGAGTGAAGAAAAGAATGGCTGGTTCAAATCCAAATGAGTTGATATTATTTACCTTATTGCATTACGAAACCTCTAGAAGAATGACGAGGCAATGAAATCACAACCAGGTAAGTGTTAACGGAGCGCATTACTGAAATCGTTTGATCATGCTTGTGAGAGGAAGTCAACCCTGAACGAAAAAATGAGACTAAAAAATGTAATTAGGATTTAACTGATTTAATGGGAAATGAATCACAAGTAACGATTAACAGTACATATGATAAAAGATTTATTCTAGTTTGCTGAAATGCCGAATTACATTGACATTTTCAGTAGGCCAATGGTCTCGTTTGTCATAATATCCTTAGTTTCTGAGATGTAACTTCTTGAAGTCACAAACATAATTTCCCAGTATTCTGACTACATACCTTTAGCAGTTACTACTTATGTACACGAAAGGTGTTCAATCCCAGCACAATATATTTTAGGATGATTTTGTCAAATTCATAAATTTGTTATTTTCATCTTGTATTCTGTTGGTAGTCAGAAACCTTCTTTTATATCATTTCCTAACTGGAAAGAAATTGCTTAGAGTCTAACCACATGGACCTTAAAATATATATTCTGGATGCTTGAAAAACTACTAATTATTATCTCAGTGTAAAAGCTGAGAACAAACAAGCATCCTACAGATTACATTTTTCTAATGATCAATAATATGGCAAATACCGTAAGAATAAGACGATGATACAAGTGTTTATCCACAAATAAAATTGTGATACATAAATATTTTATATTTGGAAGATTTTGATTGAAAGCACATGTTTATTAATTGAATATTTTAATTGAACCAGGCTTCAGTTTTAACTACAAAAAAAACAGTTTTACTGTTGTATTATTTTGATAATCAAACTCAGTTATTTATTTACTCTCTGAAGAGGCGACTTGAACGACGTTCGTAAACTATGAAGATTCTAATTTACATTCACCGGGAAAACACGAATATATCATTACATTATTGATAACAATCTAATCAATGTATAACTCATTCGAAATTATCAAGTCGAATATTGTTAAAGATACAAAATTACTCGTTGGGTTCATTGACGATACGTTATTAGATGATAAACTTATGTTTGTCGCATTGTATTCATTATGACAGACGAATTTCTACATAGTTCATATATCCTATACATGAATATTAGAAATTTTAATCATTATCAGCTATTAAGTTTAGAGTTAAACTATTAACTTGATATGTAACTGTTTAGTTCGAATGTTCATTTATAACTTAAAAGTGGAAATTTCTAAAATAGAATATATGTATACATATGTTTACATAGACAATCTTATTTTGAGTCCATTCGTTCCATAAAAAAACTATATGATAGATCCTAATATTCTAGCTTCCATCTCTTAACGAATTACAGATGACCAGTGTTTTGGGTATCCGAAAGCATACATTTTTAGATCCTTTTCTTTTACTACATAGATCGTCACGAAACATTTAGGTGAATTCAACAAATAGTTACTTTTCCAGATGGTTTCATCTGTTATCAAAGACACCAGGAAAGTATATTGAAAGCAGATATGAAAAGAATCAATAATAACTGGAAAGGATTGTCCAGGACAGAGTTGGATGGAGTATGCTGTCGGGTGGCTTATTCTCTTCTATGAGGGATAACAGGCATAAGTAAGTAAATGATCGGTATAAAAATATACTTAATGCTATTATAAATCTAAGATTAATATTTATAGTTTGGTCTAGCAAATTATCTCTATTTTTATTCTTTTAAAGTGAAATCGGCGAAACTCTAATTTATGGACGAGCCAATCAGAGGCATTTTAGAGATTTCAAGGTTACGGAGCCAACTTCAGTGATTAATGCTAACGTACGATCGGTTCACAGGGAATTTTATACAAAACGTGATAAATGAGCGGCTATAACAAATGAAATGGCAAGACTATAATTTGTGGACGAATCAATCAGGTATAAGATAATAGATCTCGGATTTTAACGCAAAAGCCTTTCAACCATTTGGCTAAATAAATTTCTGGCATTATAGCTGATGTCAGTTCGTGATGAAAACTCCATATGTAATTTCTAATTAAGGCAAATTATGACAATTATTGCGAAATGGATAATAAAAGTACCAGTAACACTGGCTGCAGCCAGGTACTACAATATATACGGATGTTTGGAGAACGTACAGACTCCTACATAGGCTTGTTTATGTGCATCGTGTCGTTAACCACAAGTGGTATTTTGTGTACTCAACAAACGTAGTGCACACAAGCAATAATGAAGCTATGTGGTCGGGGCTGAAAGAGTTTTTAGACTTTATCATGGATCCAGAGGCCGACTATTATGTAGCCGTATGGATGATTTCTTCTACTGCATGCATTGCGATTTTAGAACCTCTGAACCTCTTTCTAACCTTGACAAGTTTTTGAACCACATATAAGAAGTGTATTCATTTTATTTTCTTGGTTTTGTATAATATATTTTTACTCTGTAAGGACTGTTTGCTGATTGGCTGATATTTCTCAATGTCACTCCAGATTCGTTCAAAGGTTGTCCATAAATCAGAGTCTCGTCATGATATCAATTTTCATATTGAATTATCATATTAATAAATGTATATACGATCATTTACTCTGAGGATTTCCACATATTTGAAATGCCATACACTTACATTGAGAACAAACACTCAAATACTAAATTAATTACTTACAAATATGTTTTTCTTTAGTTTATAATGCTACTTACCTGCTCATAGGTTAGTAAACTTATACATTTTCAAGAAGATGATCTGAGGTGGCAGTATTCTACCTCATGAACGTAATCACAAAAGTGCTTAAGATTCACCTGATCACACTATGTAAAACTAGATGAACCACATATGTATAATTAAAAAGTTCGGAAAATTTATCAAAACATAATACAAAACAAGAGGTGATCTAGTGCAAGATTACTACCCAATGGTAGTCATAATAAAACGGTAGCTAAAGAAGTTTTGGATAGTTGAACAAGCAATACTACAAGGGTTTATTACAGCCCACTCTCGAGAAGTAAACAAATTTAGCAAATTAAAGATAACCTTCAGCAGTACGTTTCAAGCTTTACAAAATCTATTAGAAGACAGGAAGAGATCTATCGATTGCAGATATAAATGGATAGAATGATCGATAACTTCAACATGCCAGGAGTTGATAAGCACAAAGAAGAACCTGAATAAACTATTTTAACATTATTTTGATCAAAAACGTCCTTAGGAAATCAATAGCGACTAGTCTCACATTTGTAAGTAAACTGATACCGTTCCATTGTTTCTCAAATATAAAAGTATATAGAATATTTCAAGGATAATCGCTACTGTAAATAACAATGTAATCTTCACTAAAACTCACAAATACCACTTAACTACAATGTGATCTAAACGTCTGACTGATATTTAAACATTACTAGAACCTACTAATAGACTAAACATTATCCATGAAATTAGTCATGTCAATAAAATGTGCTTAATTCTCTATTCATCAAAGTAAATGGAAATAGTATAGGATCCAATAAATCAATAAATTGTTGTTGTTTTTTTACTTTCACAGAAGAATGTTTTGCACAACAATTTGAAAAAAAAACATTTCATGTATCGTATATATATATAATCAGATTGTATTGTTAAGGTGTTCAATCATCACATACATAATTATTGATGAATGAATGACAAATTACAATGAGCATTTTAATGTATTACACACATGATTGGTTGCCTAATATTATAATAAAACTAAAGAAAAAAAAGAACATATTTGTTACATATTGTTAATCATATTAACAACAACAACAACAGCAACAACAACACTAACAACAACAATAAGAGTAACAAAAATTAAAGGAAAAAGAAATCTATCTATTCCTATATAAGGTTTAGATAATTTACTCACTTTCTTTTTCAAATGCTTGAATTTAAATGTAAAAATCAAAATTTAAAAGTGTTGATCATTCTTATTATTATAACAACATTATTATATGTTGCTGTTGAAATATGTTTATTTGTCTCTGATCAATATGTGATATATAAGTAAGTTGAATATCATTTTCATTAAAGATGAGATATACTTTTATTCATACATTTATATTATATCTAATTATTCATATTATTAGTAATAGTTATAACATATTCTGTAATAAATGTTACAAAGAGATAAGAAAACCAATTTTGAGTATCATACGGATTAACAATACAGATAAACAAGTAGTTTCTTCATAAAATAATGCGAAAATGTTTTACAACAGTATAAATATGTCATTAGGCTATTAACAACGTGAACAAATCTGAATGGTGTTGTGGTGTGAGCTACTTATATCCACATAAGTAGTATATAACGATGTTTAGATATAGAATGTATTTCAGTAGAAGATTGAGAAGGAAAGAAAGAAAACGGAAGGCAATTGTCATAAAGATGCAGGAACAATGAAATCTGACACAATGGATTGATATTTGTAAAAGGAAAAGTCAAGTTTGCGACAATTGATTGGAATTTTGCAAACTAAGTATTAATTATATGGTTCTCTGGCTTTAGTGAGATATTCTGTAAATTTATGCTTAAATACATTCGATTGTCCCCACTCGTGTTCTTATTCTCTACAGTGTAATTAAACGACAATTCCATACAAAAATCGATTTATTGACTCAAGGAGGTAATAAATAGCCTTTGTAAAAAGTCAGTTCTTTTCCGTAAATGGTCACTGCTATGTTCGAGATATTAAATGCAAAAGACATAATCAGTAATTATCTAAAACTTAGGAATCCTTTTTTGTCGATTACTCATTTATAAATAAAATAGGAAATATATTGTTTACTAGACTAAATGGAAATGACAGTAATTGTTTTCCTTTAATTAAGTTGTCTTTTTCAATCATTAAAAGCGGTGAGAATTATCCAGTTAATTACAATAATCATATGTATGTTGATGTTAATAAACTGATTGCCTGACAAAATTCTTTTGAACTTGTCTATTTATCATATCTTAATAATATTACATTAAGATCTTTTAAATATAAAGGTAAATTTGACTAACTGTGAAAAACACTCCTATTTATCAGAGAATTGTCAATAACATACCATCTAGTTCATATCTATAATATTTTGAAAATACACTTGGTATTGTTTACTTGGTCCTTCCCATTGATATTTAGGACTGCAGTTGATCAGTCTCTTATTGGTATGTATGCATACTGTGCGTATTACCTACATATTGCCTTAACTCACAAGCATTCTAAACAAAGATGGATAGTAGCTAGAAGTGGAATCTAGGATGCGCATTTCATTCCACTCAAGACTCGTCAGCTGGATATACCTTCATCATAGACCTGATGTTCACTCTGAGACTCGAATCCAGTACTGTTTGCTCCAAACGCTCACGCGTTATCCACTTAGCTACTGAGTGCTGATAGCTACTTACTTGTGCAATGGGGTGGATTTAAGTCCTAGGCACTATCCATCTTTGCTTAGAATGCTTGTGAATAAAGGCAATATTGAGGCAATACGCACAGTATGCACATATGCCAATAAGAGACTGATCAATTACGGTCCTAAACACCAATAGGAATATTAAAGTAAACAATATCAAGTAAATTTACAATATAAAATCATTTGTCTCTATTCACATCTTTTTTTCTTCCTTCGAAACACAAAAACTAACTTTAATTATTACTTAGTGTCCAAAAAAACCCATCATTAATTACTCAAGGATATAGGCATTATAACTTATATTTATTAATAAAATTGAATGAAACGATTTTCAAGTTAATAACTGTAAACTACATGTACATGTTTTATATAAAGAGTCAATATTTATCTGATGGAGAAAAATGGAAACATTTGAAATAACTGATTAATTTCATTTATTTTACTATTAGAATTAGTGCACTATTTGGCACTTAAGTTTATTTAGATTGATTACGTTGATGTATATACTCTCAGTTTGATTGATTTGAATGCATCTTATGATTTTACTTATATTACATATAAGAAATTTTAAAATAAATGCATATAGTCAGAAAGGGGTTTTGTAGATATTATTAGTAATTTAATAGTTGAATTCATGATCATTAGAGAAAACCTGGAACAACTGGACAGCCGTTTCTTCTTAGTATGGGACATCTCAGCAGTGCGCATTCATTAAATTTACTATCAAATTTATACTAAAATATTCTTGCTAGAAATTAAATGGTGCTTGGATATCCATTTTCACTCTAACTTATCACTTTTTGAAGATAGTCAACATACTAAGTACTTAGTATATTGTTCTAGCGTTTCTTCACTTATTGTTTTCTTGTGTTTACTCATGAGATATCAATATGTTTTTCTATTCTTTTTTTCAATATAAGGTCTCAGAATTGTAGCTTTCATAATCCGTATTGATTACTTTCATCTGGTATTATTTAAAATAATGACATAAGAACCTAATCAATTGAAGAACCAATAGATGTAGTAATCGTATGGATTTGTATTGCAGCTCACCAATACTCATCAGTAAATGCAGACATAAAAACACCACTACGATTAAGAGTGTACTTTAATGCTATAAGAAAAACAAATTACAAATCAGGAAGTTCGCATTGAATATAAGTGATTACATTGGGGTTAAAGGTTATTAGCAAGTTTACGGTTATTTAGGTAACTGTAATAACCAGACACAGTAGAATTTGATAAATTTCTGAGTCCTGTATATATCAGCGTCGAAGTCATGGAGAATATAATGAGAACAACTGAAAGTAATGTATTTGGAATTAAGGTCAGTCACGGAATCACGTAAAAAGGAAATCATCAAGTAGTACAAATACCACAACTACAGCTAAAATGGATATCCGGACTTCTGTAATCTACTATACTTTATTCTCGTAGCTCCGTTCTTTGTTTGCCAGTCTATGTATCGGGTATACACTCAGTAATGTCTAGAATATACTCATTAGCACTAGAACTAACAGCAAAAATTAGAACAAACTCACCTCGTTCCTGTGATTGTATTTCATCAATACGTCCGTTGTGTGTACTTAAATCATTCATACCCAGAATTCAAACCAGAGATTTTCCAACATTCTTCACTACTATCACCTCGGATGGTCAGAGATCATTTACACTATAATATGCAACTTCTGCGAATTCCAAGTGCATCATATTAGTGTGAAGAATCCCTTTTTTTATATCTTCAATGGATTTTCTTTCCTTACAGAATGTTTAACGTTTCTATATTGAAGTAGAAATGTGTCTACTACCCTCTCCGGCTCATCAAATGTTGTAACAGTGATGGAACCGATATCACTCTTCAATGTCCTGACAAACTTTTCTGCCTGATCATTAGAACAAGTTTGTTTAGGAGCAAGGGCCAATTATGTGCACTACACAATATTCAACTACTTAGTAATTGCATTTTCAGCAAAAGAGAATAAATAACCAAATTAAAATTAATCCGTTGTACTATTTAAACTTGGATTAATTTTAATTTGGTTATTTATTCTCTGAAGAAGTGACTTACACTAAGTCACAAAACGTCAGAAAATCCAATTTTCTACTCATTGGGATATTACAAATATATTATTTTTATTTATAACAATCAACCCAATGCTCAATTTATTCGAAATTATCAAATCAAACCTTGGTAATGACACCTACAAGGTCATATATTATGTTTATCCATGATTTCGAATTGTGCTTTTCACACTCGAAAGCGATTATACACATACTCTGGTTCATTCTGTGATTTTACAATTGATACAAACAGTAAAGAATACAATACTCTATTCAAAAACCTAGTCTTTCGTTTCTAACACTGCAGTACAACCTACTGATGTTTTGGTTTGAGGATTTACCGGACACAAGGAAGTAGTCAGTTAATGACTAGAGATGACGGTTTTCTATTAATGCTTTGTGCGTTTTTCTTAAGCGAAACAAGCCTTTGAAGTCCGATGACCAAACCTTTAGAATATGTGATGATTAGAAGTTGAGATTTAATTCATCTATGTTGAAGCAAACATGCACCCCAGATGAAACTCATTGGGATATTACAAATATTTTATTTTTATTTATAATATATGAACATTAGAAACACTTTTCTTACTATGATCTGAATTACAAGATTTAAAATCTCTAGTAACAAAATATACGACAGTCCTACACACCAACTTTATGTGTCTAATTTTAATAGAATTGAAGGATTTGACATCACGAATTGAATGTAATTCCCGAGAATGTTATTTACCACAGGACAAACATTTACCAAATCTGTGCTCACTTTTATATGCTGCTTCAGGACCGTACTGAATCGTTTTTCATATTTCCATGGTAATAGAAACTGTTATTTGACAAACGCAAGGTTGCGCATCCTTGATAATGTATTTAATCATAAACACAGCGAATTATTGGAGGTTTTCGCTAACTGAAAATCAAATTCATTAACTGCCTCATAGTTAATACACGATGTTTTTATTTTCTGAAATAAACTTTTGGGTCTTCGATTTATTCCTCTTTCGAAATTCTGAATATGTATCCTAGTAGTTAACCGATCACGAAATTTGATTTTCAACCATCCTCAAAAATTGCACACTCCAGCCTATTTCTGCAGTTCAAGTACGAAGTTTCTGCCTTTCCGGTCATTCTGTCACACCATTTCATGAAACTGTGATTCTCTCTTCCTTGAGAGGTGGCTGGAACACTGCACATAACTGAGTAACAATCCTCTGAAAGTTTCATATGTTGATGAAATTGGTTTGCCTGGGAAAATTATATCCTTACGCAGGCTATGCATATCTTAACCAATTGCGTTTCAAGGGATGTGCCGAGAAATTTTCATGTTTAATATCTTTTCTGGTCAGTTTAGAAAAGCTCTGTGTAGTTTTCAAAGACCCCCTCATATAAACTGATGTCCGGCTGTTTAATAACTGACCCCATCGTGAAGCTAGTGTGAGAATTAACAATAGTCTATTTCACTCCACAAAAATACAATACTTGAAAACGTTTTTATTTAAAACTTTATGTAATTTGAAGATAGTTTACTCTTCGTTACACCAATTGGATTCAGTTTTATGTGTTATGCCGAACGTGTTTTCATTATTTAAAAGGTCTTGTACGATATCAAATCAAAATACACTGAAAAGTTTACTTTATCTACAAACATTTTAGTTCTTTGTTACGTGAAATAAATGAAAATATCGATTATTTATGTCCATGCTTGTTTTGGTTTTTATTGTTTTACAGATATTTAATGGAGCATGGTCTACCTTATGGCCATCTCCTTAGTAATAGTAGAAAAAAAGAATCGTAAGTAGTAAATCAAAAAATGTTAAACTAATACTTTAATATGAATTTGATTCAGTTTTAATGTATCATGACTGGAATTATTCATCATTTCTTCAATGAATAAATAGAAGTTAATGCATAGTATAAAATAATAAAACACTACTCAGTTTTATCGAGATTTTAGTTGTCAGCTATTTTAAGAAAAAAGCTTTATCTTCTCTATTGAACGATTGATTATGTGTCTTATTCTTTTAGTATAAAAAGTAACTTTAAAATGTATATCACTGAGTAGTAATCAATGTCATATTTATTTAGTATCTAGAGTTAATCAAATCCAATTAATAATGTTGAATTGTGGTCACTAGTTGAAGAGTCTCGACAAAACAAGTACATTATCTAATGTCAAATAATTGGAAACAATCAGTCGGACATCAAAGACGTTATCTTTTATGACCAAGAAAACTTTAAACTGTTTACTTCAAAGTGGTCAATCTGTGTTGATATTTAGGTTTAACAGAATGTTGATTGCAGCCTGTATTTCCTGATGAAAATATTGATTTATTTTCATCAAGGCTAGACATACGATTTAATAACTATTACGAACTGGCTAAAAAATTAGATATTAGTTACTTATCATTAATTGAATAACATTGCATATATAAGAGTTATATAAATCAGAAAACATAATTCATTCCAGTACTATTCACTGACTATTTACTTCAAAAAACCCAACGAAATATCTATGCTTGACAAATGTATTTAATCCATCTTTCATGTACACAACCTTCCAGAGTATATAATTATATTTATACTCGAATATCTATGCACATTTTGCAGAAACAACGTTTGTATGATCAAGGGTTCGTAGTTTAATTGGCAAACTATTGATTCATTAAAATGTGAGTTATTTTAAGCATAAACTAAGTGTGAAGCATCTTCTTATTGGAACTCTGACATTAAACTAAATCTCCCTTCTATTTATTTCAACCAACAATAAGAATAAATGCAGAAAATACTATAAGTATAGGACAAAATGAACAATTTCAGTTAACAATCGTTAAATACCTCATATTAAAACATATTTGCGATACATTTTCCTATACTCATTTAAGTAATTTCATCGACAATTTCATTGATTTTTCTACTTATCTTTCTGTTTCAAAGTTTAGATCATGAGTCGATTGAAACTAGACCAGCATGGAAAATTTGGAAGCACTGGACGGCCATTTTGTCCTATTGTGGGACTAATCCTATTCTCATACTAATTAGCATATGCTCAATAGTGACTGGCTTCAAGAAGTATATCCTGGAGTTCTAGTGAGAAACAGTGAGCAGTAGAGTTCAACCAGGTCAGTTGTGAGATAATAACTCACTGATGACAATGGTGGACGGTGGCTCAATTTTCTGAATTGGTTGAAGTTAGACATTAACATCGCTGGATGCAGTCTCAGTGGTCTAGTGGCTAAGCGTTCGCGCGCGAGACCGATATGTCCCGAGTTTAAATATCGCGGGGAGGGTTTATGGATGCGCATTTCTGAAAAATCTCATTCCAAGACGAAAATTCCGTCCAGTGCTTCCAGTTTTTCCATCGTGGTCTAGTTTTAATTGGCTGATGATCTCAAACATTGAAATTACTACATTATCCACAAAAACCTTTCTGATATTATCTTTCTATCTCAGAAATTTTTTTATTTCTTTTTTTATTAAATAAACTGATATGTAGCTATGATGAAGATGAAAAAAAGTTGAAGTTAGTTCAAGCAAAAGCTGCTTGGATAAAATCTATCAGTAATCTTATACGTTTAAGTTTTGGGTTAGCAACAGTTCTTATTATTGGATATATATCAGATCGTTTCGGTCGTAAAATTGCCTTAGGCATATTGATTTTTGGTGAAGCAATATATATTGGCCTCATGGGTGAGATTTTTGTTTTAAAAAAACTTTCTTGCTAATCATTCTTTTCTTCTTTTTAAAGTTTTATTGTTTATTTAGATGGAAGCAAATATTGTTTATTATTAATGATTGCTATAATGAACTTTATTGGCATTCCGATGTTTACCAGCGAAAAAATTCTAAAAAAAATATGAGTGACTTTACTACATTTTCAGTTTATTTTTTTCTAATGTAGCAATTCAGTCGTGATTAGTTGATTGTTTTACAAATTTTTTTAAAACTATATTCTTTTTTAATAACATTCATGTAGGTTTTATCATCTATTTAAATTTGAGTCCATGGACAGTTGTTTTTCCCGGTTTATTCGAAGGAATTTGTGGCGGTGGTCTTGTATCATTCACTGCTCAAATATCTGCATGTTTAGCTGATATCACTGTACAACCGGAAGATTCTAAAGAAAATTCCAATACCTCAAGTTTAAATCAACAATATTCGTCTAAAGAGCACAGGTGGTTATTTTTTACGATGTATGATAGTTTGGCAAGTTTAAGTCATGCATGTGGTAGTCTATTTGGAGGTAAGTAATATGTAAAGTTTCACTTTATCAATGAGATAGTTTTAAAACTAATAGACTGAATATATAGTCTACTAAGTAGGGTTATTTTTTAATTGTTTATTAACACTATTCGTAAGTCCTTTATTTTGGTGATTATGTCGAAAATCAAACTAATGATTTAGATACACGGAACCCATTTTTTTCGTTTGATATCCAACTTGTCTCATGAATCGATAATTAAAGTCTGCCTACAATCTACTTTTGATTTTCGTCTATATATTTCTGCAGTATAAGTAATAATTGGATACATTGAATCTTAAGTGAAAGATCACTGGATATTTTTTAAATAAATCTGACAATTAGATAATAAATCAACTTCAAACATTAGCCTGTCTAACTTCTGACTATGATAATTTGAAACGAGATTCCAAAACCTCTATGGTAAAGGCTTATTAAAAATTATTTGTAAGGGTTTAAATCTTATGGTTATTAGTGTGAACGACTACAGTCTGATCAGTATCTTCCGTAATATGTGAATCCTATGCGGACTACCCCGATATCGTAACTAAATCACAACGAAAAGATTAAAAACATTACACATAAGCAATAAAATTCATTTCCCACTGCACAAGATAGAGTCCATTTGAACTCAATAGCTCATTGGAAAACGCGTAGCGGTTTAAAATGAGAAGCACTAGGTTTAAATCTCGACATGGACATCATTGCATGCATTGGTACAATTATCTGGTAAATCCTAAATGGGACGAAATTTGAGTATTATTTTTCACTGCTAGCTGTTCTAAAATAAACATCCCAACCAACTTTTCATTTAAATAAGGTGATAAAATACGTTAACTCATGTAGGACATCAAATGGTACGATTAGACAATATAGGTGTAACGTGCAAATACAACGCAAAATATACCCACATTTTAAAAGAATTTATAATATATTTATTGCTAGTTATAATGGTAATTGTGTCAAAAAATGTTTGGGTGTGGTTCATAGAGAGAATTAGAAATTTACTGTAATATCATAAGCAATAATGTAGACACTTAGTTACAGCACTATTTCCCAAATAATTTCAACATTTTCGATGCCGTATCTAGTCAATGAACAATTATGAGTAATCTAATATCTAAAACAATCTATTTAATACTCGTATTAATTAATGATATTTTTTCAATCAAACTTGGAATTGTTTCTAAAATTAAAACAAAACAAAAAACTGTTCAACTTCGTTAACAAACCAGGGATGAATATTGTCAGTATTAAAACAAACTAGTTGTAATGACTAACTGTATCCAACTGATTTTGAAATTAAACTAAGAGATTATCAGTATTATTATGTGTAGAAGAAATGTACAACGATACAATTGCTAATCATATGGAATGTTCATTCACATTGTGACTTACTTATTATGTAAGTAAGTATTCTGAAAAAAATATAGAACGAGCAAGCTTTCAATCAAATGCAGGTTTGCGATCAATATGTAACTTTGTTAACTCAAATTACCTTGTGATAAACGTATAGAATAAAGAGTTTAATGGATGTAGCTGAACCTATTTCTTTTGACTGCATAGATCTACTTGCTTTATTCAAGTGAGAAGTGTATTCACAAATTAAAACATTCAAACTCCCACCGGGGTACTTACTACAGTAAGTTATTGTAAACATTGTAGATTATCTTTAGAAGCAAATTATTAGTATAGGGTTTTCAAGATCGTTGAGTTTTTGACTGAGACCATGAATCGGTGAGACCGAAGGTTCTGGGTTCGAATCTCGCGTTCGGGTCGGTGACAAGTTCCATCTGCTCCTTAAGATCATTTATAGTGATAACTACAAAAGAATAATGGTTGTTCACGTAAACAACCCTTTTGATTTTCACTTCTCATATAAAAGGTGTTTTAACATAAATACTAACTTAATTAATATGTACGCTGTAATTTAGAAATAAAAATCTTATCATAGATCATATATAGAGACACTTTACAAATCTCTTGATAAATTTCGTTTGGTTCAATATATACTCTTACCATAAATAAGTAAACTCTTCGAACATCCCATTATTATACAGAAAGTTCAACAATTTCAAGAAATAAATATTTTACATCTAAATGTAGAATTTAATTTTTTAGGTATACTAGTACACCGCTTGGGATTCGGTCTCTCTGTTACTATATCCATTGGATTATATACTACCTCAGTTGTTGGATTATCAATTCTTCCTGAGACTAATCCAGATGTATTAAGAAGAAGACGTAATCCACAAAATAATGCTATCTGTCAATACAGTGAATCTAGATATGATGAAGATGGTCTACTTTACTTAGAAATTAAAACCAGTGGATTTATCATCAAAATAATGGGAATATTTATAAAAATGCTCAAGGTTAGTATTAATTTTATATCAGATCAAGTTATATGGCTTCTGGAGCACATCATCTTCCACTTATCATATCTTTTATAGTATAGCTGACTACGTACTTTTCAGAACGTATTGTCTGTGCATTAATGTCAAAGAGCTTCTTCAGATGTAAATAAAAATTCTAGTAAAAATATGCTTTAGTAACTCAGTTTTGTACCTGTTAAACTAGGATAGATTAATCAAATATAAATTAACTCTCTGATTTTAGTCTTAATAACGTTTACACAATTAACTAGTTTTCATAAAAATATTTTTTGATTCGTATGAACAAACCAGTGAACTTGAATCTTGTATTTGATTCATTAGGAAATTCGTGTTAATTAGCGGTCTTTTAGAACATTCAAATAAGTAAGACAAAGGAAAAAAGTGAACACCTTGTTCAATACTTGATATCACTGAATGATGATTAGCTTATTATCAGCCTACATTTGTGGAAGGTTTCTTATATGAGTGCATCAAGTAGTAAGCTCTACATGGTGAAACACCAGTTTTTTTACTTGTAAGAAGCACTACATGGATTAAATCAGATAGAAGAATTTCATGCTCTATGATCGCTACTGGAGATCGCTATGTGACTTGTTTTAAAGTGAGTCAATATACACTGACAGCTGGGTATTTTCTGGTGAGTTATACGGAATTATATACATTAATATAGCACTTCATCTCCCTCTGAAATAACAGTGAATTTTCAGTTATAGACACATTCAAAATGTTCATGTTGGCAAACATTGAATAATTATTGGTTTTTTTTGTTTAATTATTCTAAATCAATTGAAATGAATGGCAAGGGTTTAATTTAGTCAATAAGAGTCTTACAGAAGGTCAGTAGTGGCCACAATAGCTGTGTAGTAACGTCTCTAACTCTGAAGCTAGGTGACACTGAATCAAACCCGCCAGGGAGTGCTATTCCCCTCAAGATCACAGATGCGTTTTGATGATAAGTGGCAAACAACATGGAACCCAGGTTCAGAGATTCCTGTCGATTACTTCCAACTACCACTCTGTCATACAGTATGATGCACGCGATGTCGAATCACTTAGACTAGTAGCTACATTCTAAACTCACCTATAGAATTCGATCAGTACTAAGAAGAACCTGAAAAGAACAATATTGGTCACTACTCACTGATTATTCAAGTGTAAATATTAAAAATCATTTTTGGGTGCATATAAGTCTTATATTTACTTGTTTCGTTAAAGACTGAATATGAATACGGATTGGTCATAAATGAATTCTGGAGTTTATCTATATTATGTGTAGAGAGAGACCATCTCTTACGCTTCTTGTCGTCATGTCACAAACTTCACAAATACTTAAATACACTTACCATACAACTAGTTTGGGTGACGTCATTAAGTAACATAGTTCAAAATCCGTTACATGCTAATTTGTTCCTTTTAGGTTCACTTTCATAATCTAATAGGTTGTAAAACAAAATATTTCAAGAAGAATTTAATGATTTCACACGGTTTAAATGTTTGTTTTAAAAAAAAAGCAAGAAACACGTTTCTGAGCTACAAAATTTTGAAAACAATAAAAATGCATAAATCTTTCAGTTGGGTAGTTTTAAATCATTGTGTTCTGCTACAAAAAGACTATTTTTTTAGGACTGACTAGTTTACCTATATCTTTACAAAACTGAATTAATGGTCGATATGTCTACTGCTTGAATTGTAGTAGGTCAGTTAACTAAATATAGTAGTTTAATCGATTTTTAAGTACCAGCAATGGTATTATAAATCCTTTCAGAAACTTTTAGTGAAAATCACAAAAGTACTTAAAACTATCACTTGTAAATGTATTCAGCTATTTTGCAATAGGATGATCTGGTAATATTCATTCATAATACTGAGTATAATCCACAATGACTTACTATCTCAAATAAATAATAACATCGGTATGAGTACCAAATCATTATCGTTCAACTTTTAATTTTATTTAATCTATACACAAAATTTGGTAATATCTATGCAAAAGAAACAGCTAATCATTTATCAGTATGGTTTATTTCACTAATTTATTAAAACACGTTTATACTTAATTATTCTGTTTTTTTTAAATCATTATGGCGATTACAAATTTCGTCATCATTTTCTGTTAAATCAAAAATTTTCCTTACTCATCATCTGTGGTTTTAAAAACTGTCATATGTAACTATTACAAACATCATGTCATATTTTGTTGTACATATTAATTAAACACCTTTGTTCATAATGTGGTGTGCCCTATTGATGTCGATATGTATAAGTAGTATGTATCATCATTCAAGAAGGAAATACTTGGCGGTAGATGGTTAAGAAGTTCAAAGAAAAGAGAACAAGAACAATGAGTAATTGGTGTGGAAATGAAAGAACAATGAAATCCGGGACGACTGACTGAAATTTTGCAAATGAAGTATTTACTGTACCGTTCTTAGAATTTACCAATATATTCTGTAATTTTATATTGATATACATTCGCTTGTCCCGACTTGTGTTCTCGTTCACTACAATACTAGAATATGATTTTCAAATACACTGTACACATAATTTTACCTAATATAAACATCACATTTTTGTATTATTCGAAATTTTTGTTGTAAACACAGTTAATGAAATAATTAACATGTGAATACTTGTAATTACCACATGACTTCTCATTTTCTTGTACGTATATTCACACAAAACACTTACTGTCAACATTATTATTTTTACCAATACCACAACGTATTCTTTAACCATGCTTAAAATACTTAATTTTTTCCTACTTGTTTAGTTCCTTGTCATATATTCTTTAAACAGAGACCTTTTTAAAATATTTTTTATTCAAGGGAAAAGCTAAAACTGTGTTTAGAGCTTCTCTAGGTTTACTAACGATCCAAACGCTGGATAAAGGAGTAAGGTTGATCATGATGTCAGCTACCTCATCTCGTAGAAAAGAACCTTGCTAAAAAGCGTTAACTCGGTCAAACAAATCAAACCATTTAACTCTACCCTCCGAGTGGAAGAAACTTCATTCAGGAGAATTATGACGCTTCATAGAGAAAGTTGAGATTTTTCGGAAGTCACGAGACCCATGCTTCTTCTAAACACCACTAGAGCAACGAAGAATATAAGTACATAGAATGTCCGGGCAATGTGAAAGACCGGTATGATTATTCAAATAGTTACGGAAATAAGAAGATACAAATTAGCGGTGCTCGGAATAGGTGAAACACATTCGACACAAGGTGGACAGAAAAGGTTAGGTGTGAGAGAGATGCTGCTGTACTCCGGTCACTGAGAAGGAAATCTCCACACACTCAGGTAGTTCCTTTAATGCTGTCCGGTGAAGCACGAAATGCACTTATAGGATGGGAATTTCATGGATCTCGTATCATCAAATCATCCTTCAAAACAAAGGAGTGGATCACAATGAATGTTATCCAATCTTATGCACACACTAATGATAGCAAGGACAACAATAAAGACCAGTTCTACTCGAGACTACAATCAGTCATAGCGAACTGCCCAAGAAAGGATCTCGCCATCCTGATGAGAAACCTAAACGCCATAGTCAGAATGGACAACACTGGACATGAAAACGTCACGGGAAATCATGGTATGGGAGAAAGGAACAAGAATAATGGGAGATCAGCTAATTTATGTGTATCAACAAAATGGCGATAAGCGGTACAATATTCCCCCACAAAGTTATACACAAAGCTACATGGATCTCATCGAATCAATCTACAGAGAACCAGATCGATCATATTTGCAATAGTGGAAAGTTTAAAAGGTCAACTGAAGACGTGTGATTCAAGAGAAGAGCTGACATAGGTTCAGATCACCACCTGGTAGTGGTCAAGATGAAAGTGAAGCTAAAGAAGCACTGTAGAACTGAGGAAACCGCACTACTAAGATCCAATAAAGCCGTCCTTCGACATACTAACAAGCCCAACGAATAGAAGATAAATCTCAACATCAGGTTCCAGGCCTTACAAGATCTATTGAAGGAAGAAGAAACTATTATGAAAGACAATTGGAAAAGTATCAAAGAAGCACATGAGAGCTGTATAACCTAACTTAGAAACTGGTTTGGAAATACAGTGAACCAGAGAGACCAACCAAGGACAAAGAAGGTAAGCCAGTCACCGCAATTCAACGACAGACAAATCATTTGTGGGAAAACAGCAGCATTTGACAACATACCACATGAAGCACCGAAGTCAGACATAAAAGTAACTGCAATTATGCTCCACGTCCTGTTGAGGGATAACGTCAGCAACAATCCGCTGTGGATGAAAACAAACCATGGATGAAACCGGGAAAAGACGTTGGAGATGGATAGAACATACATTACTTAAATCAGTTAACTGCATCACGAGGCAATCCCTAACTTGGAATCACGAATAAAAGAGGGAACGTGGCAAAACAAGAAACACACTGTATCGAGAATCGGAAGCAGACATTAAATGGATGAATAGCGATTAGAAATGACTTGAAAAATTGTCCAGGACAGAGTTCGATGGAGAATGCTGGTGGGCAGCATATGTTCCTGAACGAGGGTTATCAGGCGTAAGTGAGTAATAGAAGGGGAAGCTAACTTTAACAAGGCTCTATGAGAATCTATCCTCTGTTTTTAAAAACCAAATAATGAATCGTTCTAATCTAATTATTTGTTAAAATGTATTCCCAGGTTTAGCGACCAATCTTTTATGAGTGAACATTTTTTTAATGCGTGCGCAAATGTCTGTTTACAACTTAATAATTATTCTGAATTGAAAATAAATCCATTTAATAGGTCAGACTTCAAGTTATCTAAAGCAGTCTCTGTACTTCATCATGAACTAAAATTTCTTCATCATGGTTCATTTACTGATCTGTAAGGTTGTAATAATTGTGCTTTCAATACATTTCATATACGAATAATAACATATCGTTGTCCAACGGAATGAGTCTGAGACTACGTATGAAATTAATCAGGGTAATAGTTAACTAAACTCTGATGTCAAATACGTTAAATGTTAAGCCTTATAATCTCTTCATTAATTGAGATGCTAAATTAATTTCAAAACCGTTTTTTATTTCTTACCTCTCTTTTAGGCGATTCGACATTCTAGTCCTTTATCGAGAATAGTAATGACATTGCTTTTCTCCGTATCTGTAACAGTTGTAGCAGATCTGCAGTACATCCACATATATTTAATGGGTTGTCCATTTTTTTGGAATGCACAGACAGTCGGATTATATGCGTGAGTGCAAAATAACTAACTGATGATATGCAATGAACCGCTGATTATATTTTTTTGTACTCAATAAAATCGAACAGACAAACGGTACTTCCCACTTATAGCAAATCACAGTAACACTTATAATGGATAACTACACTTTATAATTAAGTAATTTATATGCATCGACGTTAACTTACATGTTCACTTATTTAGTACTTAATCATAAGTAGTGATTTTGTCAATATTTCTGGATTCTTTAAAGAACTTTACTTAGTAGGCTGATATTATTTGAAGAACCAGTGGAAACAAGAAGCCATTGTACAGCTGTTCCCGGTAGTTTTGCTCACCTTCCACTATCAGTACATTGAACTCAGAGACATGGTTGAATTGTACCATGATTTTTTCTCATTGATATTCACTGATATTACGTTTTAGTATAAAACAAAGTTTTCCTAAATATATTTTAAGTTGTTTATTTTGATTATGTAATATTTTGTCATTTTTCTTTCATTGCGTTATAACAGCACTTAATTTATGGGTATTTGCCAAGTTGCTATAATGAGTCATACAGTCCTAGAAAAACCATTTTAATGTTAGTCACTATGGTAAATATCATTCCTTTGAAATTGATCGGAAGATCGTAATGTTATTATACTGAAGATTAACCAACTGTTATTGCTGATAATAGAATGACTCATTTCTATGTCAATAAAAATCACAATACAGTTTTTCTTTATTAATGTCGACCCCGATACATCATGTGCTTCTACCATAGTTTTAATAATCTCGAATATATAGTAGAAGAATATAAGTGTGGTAATACTGCAAAGTTGTTCACTGAACAAAGTTTTCATCAATACGGCTACAATTACATAAACATATTTATAAAAAAGTCAGCTTGACTACTTATGACCAAACCAGATAGAATATTGTGGATCATTTATTAATTCATTAATAGCAAATAATGCTAAATATTACTTCTATAAGATGGTGGTTGAGAGGTAGTCAACAAGACACCCCAGTTCTCTGTTTCGTGCTATTTGGCACCCGACTGGGAGACTATCCCTAACTCGGTGGTCTCCCAATCCTGGTACGTCTTGGACAGTGAACATGACTTGTCGCCTTTCGAGTGTACCCTTTTTACACTACACTCGAAAAACTAGCCGCCTTGGTGCAGCCTAGTCAATTTTACTATAAGTGGAGATGTATATAACCTCTATATTTATTCGTGATTCATCTAGACTGTGGCATTGTCGGCAAGGTTGTTTCGAGTCTTTTTGTCTTAACTCATCAAAATGTATTTCAGTAGGTAAGTTTTGGGAGCAGCGTTATTTGAAACACTGCAAACACAAAGATTACTTACCTGGGTTGAAGATCACTTAACGTCCTATCAAGAAATATATAAAGCTATCTCTAGCTTAATTATGATAAATATGACTAACCCATATTATTATTGTTAATTTTGATATGTTTAAAAATGAATACAACATCTTTCTTAACATATATGGTGGGCTATTATGATGTGATTCAATTATATATTCAGTGGCATATCTATCATTTATGTCGATCTGTTACCACCATTTAAGACACAAACTAACAAGATTTTGTATAAAATATTTAATTCAAACAAAAGATTATAATGCCAAACTGATTATAACAAGTAATACACTTATAGTTATTTATAATAATTATCAGCGTCATTACATCATTTACTGTAACCTATCAATTATCTGCAGTATACGCAAATCTAAGTAATGTAATTTGTACATAAGCTAAGTAGTTCTTCATTATAAAATAAGTAAATAATTGAACCCTAGTTTTATTTGGTACTATTAACACGTCCCTGTTTACAAGTTAAAGAATAGACTGAGAACTAGATGAATTAATAGTTTACATTCCGACAGATTTAAATTTCAGGTTGTTTTAAAATTTTCTACTATAAACCATAAGAAATTCAACCAAGTATTTCAGAAACTAGCTGTGATTACATCGTTAAAAGTCAATAGTTCTTTTTCAAAATCGAATACTCTCTAAAAATAACCAAACTTTAAGAATATCAGTAGGATGTAGTAGAATTGTTTGGATTTTATAAGCCTTAACTATGATCACTAACACTATACTCTCTCACAGATAAACTGCACTATTAATCCAGGAATTAGTATTGATAGATGAATTTTATTATGTTATTGAAGAGATTTAGCTAGAGATGAATACCGTGTAAATGAAAGTAAGACGATGGGTTGAAATTTCTTCATATCTTCCAGTTCATTGTTCAACATTAGCGACTGGGTTTCATGTGATTTATAATTGTTTAGCACAGTATCAACGCCTTATATACCAGGGTAACTCTTGGAACTTTTTATTGGACTATATTTATTAAGTATTGAGTATTTCGAAATCTCAGTTGTCTCATAATTTTCGTACTGATTGTATGAGATCGTCAATTTATTTTCTATTTTCATCCGGTGGCTAAATTTATTATTATTGTTTAAAAAATAACAAACTACTTCAATATTTACAGTAGTATTTTATAAACTGCGAAAATTAAAACTGTCACACAAGGAAAATCAAGATTTGTCAGTTTTAGTGACCACCCAGATATTAAATAGAACATAGTTTTACTTAATCTACACTAGTAGTGCCAACAAAATAGTTCATGCAACTGGTTTTCTGTTTCAAATTTAAATCATTTCAGAGGTATATCTGATGCTTTGTCAGCATGTTTGTCCATCACATTCATTGTGGCAATTTACAACTGGGAACAAACTCGTATATTACAATTATGTAGCATGGGTGATACAAAAGAATATGTTGCGGAATATAATTCCATGGAAATTACATCAAAAGAAATGCGGATACTATTTATGATTACAGCTGTGATATTCATAGGATTTGGATTTATGTTAATCAATAGAATATTGATGGGTATTGCATTCTTATTCACTTTACCTACTGCTAATTACATTGTTTATGGAGGTAAGATAAATAACTCAGCTATGTCATTAATGCTTTGGCAAGGATTCTCAAAATATTTTTGGGCAAACTGATATTATAGTTTGCTATCAGACTGAATAGTGTAATTCTTAGTAGTGATTAGACAATATTAATTTACATGATAGACAAAATAATATTTGTTTAGAGGAATATTTTGGTTTCTGCTATTCTAACATGGTAGAAGATTTGACGAGACTATAATTCACTCACCCATGTGGCCAAACAGCGTCTTGACATTTTAGCTGATGCCAGTTTGTGATGAAAAAACGTAGATCTAATTCCTAACCCTAATCATCAACTGAATCATAATCCTTATCTTTCAAACTGCTTTACGACACTCATTTAGCCCTAGTAAATAGGTGGACACTCAAGATCACTCAAGATCAAAGGTCGTCCATAAATTATAGTCTCACCGATGGTTTAGTTTTGAAATGGAGGACTATGCATATTGCATCAAAAGATGCTGAAAGTCCAGTTATTTTTAATTTGTATGATATATTTTTCTAAATATACGCGTATATATTCAAATTTAAGTCATGCGGTTGTTGGTGATTTAATTTTTAATACCGCGACAATGAAGGTAGTGAAGAGTTTGGACTAGTCGCTCAATAACTGTAAAGTTGAATGTTTTAATATTTCAGAAAAATAATTCATAATTTAAAAATAACTAAAAGTGGACATATTTGTTGAATAAATGTGTACTAAAATCATCAACTCTAACATTAAATAAGAATTATTGATTTTCTTTCATTTCTTCATAAGCATCAGCTGTAAGATTGGTTAAAAATACACTTGTTGCACCAATTCGAACTATGATCTCGATAATAACACCAAATGATAAACAAGGTATGTTAGTAATGATTGTCAACGATTTTAAGGGAAATTAATATAGTAATCAAATATACTTTGTTTTATTTAACATTTGTGATTTTAATTCATTTATGTATTGTTTTTTTAATGTTTAGGACCTCAATTGATCAGTTTCTTATTGGCATATGTTCATTCTATGGGGATTGACTTGATATTGTTTTAAGTTACAGATATTGTAGGCGGAAATGAGTTAAATTTCACTAAATTACATAATCTAATGGTTATCTGAACTCAGTAGCTAAGTAGACAAAACGATGGCATTTAAAGCTAACAGTACTAGGTCCGAGTCTTAAAATATGACGAAACGTGCATCCTGGGTTCCACTGCTAGCTACCATTTGTCTTTGCTTAATATTTGTTATTTCAGTTTTAAAGCCATGCACAATAATATTTCGAAATTCCTGGGGTGACTAGGTTAGGTTATCTCATTTGGAATTTATTTCGAATAGTTAGTGTTTAACTTTAATAAATAGTTATGTTGTCAGAAAAAAACCCAGTCTATTATCATAAAAGTTATGGAAGATTAAATAATCAAATGAGATATGAATATGTAGAAATCCGTTGTTTCTGAGCTATACTTATTACAATCTTTCCAAGTATTAAAAATGTTATTTTAAAATGAATCACCGTCGATTGTTGGTACAATTAACAGATTGGAGGTCAATTTATTATTTATACGGTGAAAGAGTACTTTACTTTGTGAAATGATTCAAGACTGCTGTTTATTCTAAATGTAAATTTGTATACTATTTATCAAAACATATGTATTTTTTCGAAAAGAGAGTTTATTTTGTTGATGATCATCAAAGGATGATAAAAAGTTACGATTCTATACCAAAACAAACGTATATGTCAATAGTGAAACATTTTAAGTTAGCGTAATAATTAAGTGGATTGAGGGATGGAATATACGTTAAAAAGTGTTCATGGCGAAGATATCGTATTTATTTATCGATTTACTTATTTATTTAAGCATATAAACATTGATACAAATAAGGATTAAAAAATTTATACGCGCTCTATAAATTAGTTACCATTCAATTTGTTTGTAGGCTGGTATACTACCAGGGTGCCCAAACTGAAACAAGTGGTTTGCTTAAAATGCTACTCCCCAAGTTTTGACCCTGAGGTCTAATCCACAAGGGAGTGAAGCAACTTTAGCAGATGCGGTCCTATGGTAGTTGATTACCTATAATAAGTTCATACGCTATTTATTCCGTAAGGATCCTGAAGCCCATGCGTACCATTGGTTTTCAATAAGAGTTTTCCAATTATGGGGGGCGGTCCAGAAAATTTAACAGCTCAGTTTAAGCACCGGAAATTTGCTTCCTGTCCTCTTAATTTCGTATATTAAACCTTCTACCGCGAGGACGCAATACTAGGACTTCCCTAAAAGTGGCTTTATACGCGTTAACCCATGAGAGGGCTTCAAGACAGTCAAAAACTCTCCTCATTTTCGGCTGTACCCTGGCATTTTTGGGCAAGATATCATGTGGTATACAACAAACCAATGTAGAGTGAAAATGACGCTTCTGATTGAACTTTCAATCTGATTTCATAGCTGACTCTGTTACTCCTAGACATTCCCACTTCGGTCAATTGAGCGATTGCTCGGCATATAAAAAAATATCAGAACTGTAAGAGGAATACACAGTTAAACAATATAACGCACTTTGTATGGTTAAACAATGATATAACCGAAGAAATCTGAACAAATTGCAACTAGTATTGTGATAAGTCAGCATTGTTGGGGGTAACTTAACCAAATTTTCCCAACCTATTTTGTTGTTTTGGAGAAATTTTACTCGTCTATAAAGCTTTTAGTATTTTTTTATAATGCGAAATTATGGGGTCGTACTAATATAAATTCGTAAATATAACAAAAGGATTCTAAATTTGATAAGTGCTTTCTGAGCGGTTGTTTTGTGTGATAGGAAGTTAAATTCAATTGAATACAAAATTTCTTATTGTAGACTGATTTTATTTATATTTCTAAACATGCTTTTTGATAAGATAGCAGTACATTTAATGAACTAAACGTTTTGTTTCGGTTTCAGTAGACCGTGAAATGTTATTTCGTCTCTACTGTTTAAATTTGAAGTATAGTTGGTCGTACATAAGACGCATACATTACCAAAAAGAACAAGCAATGTAGAAACTTCATGTTCATTTCTCATTAAATTGGGAATTTTTGTGTAGGGAACCTTGTTTTATGAGTGATATTAATCATGGATTAGCATTAAATAGAAAACCAGTAATTTCCGAACAATTTGTTACTGATATGGAACTCTGCCATAGTCAAAAAATTACAACACTAGGAATAGAACTGAAGAGTATTTAATTATTAAACCACCATGTTAGAATGTGCTGGTCCAATTTCTAACTTCAGTTTATCCTACTTTCATCGAGGAATTTCCCAAGTTCTATCGAAAAGTTGAAACTGACGGAATCCACTCATGTCGGGGTGATGCAAACTTTTAATATCATTTTATAAATCAAGAGAAATAATACGACCCGTTTCAGTTTGACACTGGCATAACGAAAATACACTAGGTCGTTAGTTGATGATCTAAGATTTATTCAACGCCTAAGTTTTCCGAAGACTACTATTTAACATTCTATTTTCCAGTAGGCTATATTGTCCCGACTGTTGTTGCTACCTTGATGTGATAGTTAGGCTTGCCTATCGTGATGAACCAGTCGAGCTATACTGGCTTTAACAATCATTACTCAAGGTTCCACTATACTATGCAGGTCGGTTGAAGTGCGATAAGACTAAATCAGCAAACCCAAGGTCCGAGGGCGAAGTTATACTGCTGATTGTACAGAGGTGTGACAGTAGTATGGTGTTTCCTACAGACAACAGCCTTCCCACAAGCAGGGGTGGAGTGAGAAAATGGTCGACCCTAAAAATGCATACGTTGCCTTAGCCCACGGATATCCGTCTCCGGTGGTAAGGTCTCAACATGTACGGAGCTAACATGATAACTACTCACAAAAAGGTCGTGCGTGACCGACCTCAAGCAGTTGTCATTTGTGCATTGAGGTCACACTCTCAAGTCACTAAGACCACCTCTAATCCAATTTCCTTCTCAGGTACCTCTAGAAGAACCCATCCACGGTGTGAGCAGCCGGGAATTGATAACCGCTCTCCTACTCCTAACAGCATTCAAGACCACTGAGGCTATACTGCTGTATTTAAAACTATTAAACTTCAGTGAACAATATCAGATAGTCCTATTTTTATTTATTTTCCTTCAATTTTCTACTTTGCAAAACAAATTGGTATTGTAAAGTTAAGTGTAATTTTTGTTGGATTTTTATTCAATTTATTAAAAGGTTTCATGCTATCTCTTGGAACATTTATTTCGCTTGTGGGATTTCTGATCAATCTAACAGTCTTCCCACTTATTTATGCCGGAACTGTACACGCTTTTCCTGGTGCTGTTTTCTTTATGTGCGGCTTACTCATATCGATTACTATCGGTTTCGGAGTGTAAGTCAGGTATAATTTCTCAGTTTCATTTACCTTGTAATGTTAATGTTTACTGTACACAATTAATTCATTCAGTGTTCAGTGAACTGTTGTTCCTTCCACCTATGAATATTAACTTTGAAGATCCACGGTGAGAAAAACCGTGCATCGATTTCTCCACACCATTTACAGTATTTGCTAGAATTGGTTAGAAATATCTGGTCTAAAGTATTTTCTATGGATTTTTCATTGAATACATTAATTTCACAGAATGAAGATCATCTTAAATTACTGTTATATTCAAGATTAATATAAGCAGTATATTACAAGGTACACACATAGTAAGTTTTACTACTTCATTAATAGAAGAATAATCATCTTATAACAATAAAAAGTTTTGATAGGCTTTCATACCATTAAATAACCTAGGAATATCTGCATACATTATTATTTACTACTTCAACAACCTGAAATATTCTGAACTATTTTATCAAATAATTGATACAGAATCATGTTAAACTATTAGATAATAAAAATCTTATTAATGTGGAAATATTTTTCTTTTGTGGCCCTATATCTAACTCCATTTGAATTATTTCTGATTGCTACTGAGATAAACATATCGCCAATCCTTATATATAATCATCGTGTTAGTGTATAACGGAATTAAATATGTCAATTACGAGAATGGATTTTGAATACGTACATTTGTACACTCATTGATCCGGACAGACAATCAGAGAGACGTAGTGAAGGAAGCGAAGAGAAGAGGGAAAGTTGAAATGATGTTCGATGGAAAGGGCATGTGAACCAACTCAATTTAATCAAGCGTTAATCAATATTTATTTATAGTCATACAAAAATAAGCTACATATATGGATGAGTAGTATAAGATGTACACACGCTCATATAAAAACAGTCAAGGTTGATAAGTGAATAATTAACAAGGTCAAAACGTGACTCAAAAAAATGAATAGGCTAGCCTGTCGAGAAGCTAGAATAAGTTACATGTGCTCAACATAGTAACCGACACTACAACTCCATGAATACTTCAGTCATATGTATAAGTACATATGAATTGATGGAAACTTTTAAAAATTGAATTTATATCGGTTTTATGACAAGGTAATAATTTGTTTAGTTCGTCAAGCAAGCATCAAATCATAAATTGATAAGCAATATTGATATTCATGATATTTCGAATTGAAGCATGTAATTAAAGATAAATTTCAGCACTGTTTTTACTAATAGGAAATATCAATATGTGTAAAAGATAGACTTTTGTGTATAGCATGATACCTTAATACTATGTAGCATATTTTTATTACAATTCACGTTTTTATACCAAACGTAATAAATCTTATTCCATCACTAAAACCTGAAAGTTCTGTGAACGTCCAATCAATTTGTTACTTGAGCTAGGTAGGTCTTTATTCGAATTAGATTGCCGTAATGCTTAACATGTCACGTCAGGCATTTCCCTCAAACGTCGATTTCATGCATCACACCACCGACTCTTCTTACTATGACACATGCTACCCACGCAGGCTGCCATTATCGAAAGTTTCTTACATACACTGGTAACCTTCTAAGAAACTGATGTTTAATTCTCATTACCTTGGATTGAAAATCTCGGTTTTCGCTTTGTGGATAAATGTCGCCAAATAAAATCCTAATTCTCCTTCCAAATATTGATTCAGCTGGGAAAACACTCTCGAGTAAGGCTAGATTAGGGGTTACTCTGTATATTCTTAGGAAATCCTGGATGACGTTTTTGTTGTATTCTCTCTTTTAAACTTGATGAGAGCTCGATTGCAATTATTGTCAACACTCTCAGCTTGACCATTAGCTGGAGATAGTGAGGCAATGATTAAATGTGTTCTTTAAGCCGAAATCTGAGAAAACTGACTTGACTAGTGTTTCCAAAAATTAAATTGCCTGGAAAGCTCAATCAGTATCGTTAATGTTAATGTCTATGAGGTCTGCTTCGTTAGAGCAGATAATAATACATTCAAGCACCTTAGTTGATTCAAAAAGTAAAAGTATAGCTTCATAAACATAAGTCAAGCTTCCAATTATTTTTATGCATGTCATGGTTTGTGGCCTGTTAATATATCACGAGATAATATCGTTAATTAGAGACACCAACTTATACGCTCAGATCAATGACGCATAAACCTGTACCAGCTGTGATTGTGAAAGACTATTACTAATAAATTGGGAATATCCCAATAATAGTAAAACGTATAATAGTAGTCAATAAATCAAACCGAAGCTTATAATATAAGGAATATGAATATACATATAATCTAGTTACTTAACGGTTATACCATAACCATATATGTAATTACAGTCCATACTTAGATCCTGACAGTTATCATTCATTATTCTTCATCCAAATATAACAATACACTGTAAATAAGAATTTAAGTATTAAAATAACATGATTTGAACATTTTGAATTCATATTTATCATGATATATATATATATTAAATATAACATCACATATGTAATACTAGTAAATGAGTAAGGTAATTTATCCAACAAAAAGTTACACTTTTTGTAAGCAATGATGGATAGTAGCTAGCAGTGGAATCCAGGACGCGCGTTTCGTCAGCTGGATGTACCTGCATCTCAGACTTGATATTCACTGTGGGACTCATTGCCTACAAAAAAGCTTGTGAATTAAGACAATATCGAGGCATACGCACAATGTGCACATATGCCAATAACAGACTGATCAATTGAAGTCCTAAACCTCAATGCGAAGATACAAGCCAAACAGTACCAAGTGAATTTAAAAAGTCACACTTTCTAAAGAAAAAAAGAAGAAAAATACTGATCAATAAATGACATTATATATATATTTCTTTTTATTCGGTTTTCTTTTCTTTCTTCTATAATAGGTTATTACCAATACGTTTAACAAGAATACAAAAAGAAATGATCTTACTGAACTGAATTTTTATTTTAGTAATCTAAAGCATTTTTTTCTTTAACAAAAAAAGTCATTTGGATTTAAATAATGAATTGTAATTTTAAATTTTGGGAAATAAATTTCTTCTCTTTATCTTTCTAATAAATAAACTAATATCAGAATGGGTTTTGTGGATATTATAGTAATTTCAATGATTAAGATCATGAGTCGATTGAAGCTAGACCACCATGGAAAAACCTGGAAGCACTGGACGGCCAGAACAATAGGACGAAACGACTGTCCAGTACTTCCAGATTTTTCCATGGTGGTCAAGCTTCAACTGACTCATGATCTTAATCATTGAAATAAACTAATAATTTGGATTTTGTAATGATATTGAGAAAATTTGTAAAATTTTGCAATATTGTTTTTTTTTCTTGTTTTGTTGTTGATGCTGTTTTTCTGTACTAGAATGTAAACAAGACGTACTTTTTTTCTAAAAAGAAATGCATTCCTCATAGATGTTTTATTCAATTTTTTTAATTTTTATCCAGATTTTTATATTATAAATAAAAGAATGATTATTTAGAATGATATTTTATTTTATAGAAATGAATAGCCTGTAACGATAGAGATTTGAATGTCAAGTGGATATATTTTGATTTTGTTTAATTGTTTTTTTTTGTTTTTAAGAAGAGATGATCTAAGTGAGAAACTTTCATTAACGTCCTGGATAATATTATCAGAGCTTAGGGAAGAAAACTTAGTGACGTTTGAATAAACTGTAATTGTTTTGTCTTGTGAATATATATTACGTTTGTAGTGAACGAGAACATAAGTGAGGACAATGGAATGTATTTGGACACAAAATTACATAACATCTTAGTAAAATCTGAGAATGATATGGTAAATACTTCATACACAAAATATCAGTGAATCGTTTCAGACTTCATTTTTCCTTCATTTCCATACCAATCATTTTCTGTTCTCGTTCTTTCCTCTTTGGTTTTCTTAACTTTCTGTCTCCAGGTATTTTACTTTAGATCGATAATACATATTACTTATGTCTGTCGACATCAGTAGCACACACCATACCTTTACAAATCAAATGAGTTTAAGAGACGTAACTTCAACTATAAGATATGATTACAGTTAATTTCTTGAACGATTGTCTTTATTTGAAATATTCATAGGAAACTGAATAGCATAGTACATTTGGTTTATGTTTATCCACTGTGTTGTCAAGATTTATATTAAGCCTATTCATACATTGTGATTATCACACTGTCTTTAAAGGAATAACTGGAATTCTAGTAGTTTTTATTTCTCACTTCAATCAATTTACAATATGACAAGAGGTTGTTCTTTGCCACTGATGAATAACTGCTTCAGTTTTGATGTAACTGAACTCTACTAGTTTTGGTACCTCAGTTGAGTCCCTATAACTTAATTACATTTTTTGGCAGATTACGAAACAGTTATTTAAAATATTTCTTTTTCCAGTTTATACTTCCAAGACACTTTTTACAAATTAACAATTGTATATAAATAACGTCTTTATAGGATTTATCGACAAACGTGTTTACGGTATTGATATATCTATGACTAGATAAAGAAAATTAACTAAGTAACCTACATTTACATTTCTAGCATAAAAGTTTTCTTTAGCCGCCATAATCACAGTCCGACTTTTGAATGCACAGGTTTTCACTTGGTTATCAGTTGCTGATAATAACTATTTGTCTGAATCATCAAGACTATTCATGTTTATACCATAAAAATAAAGCTTATTCAAGTTACAACGCTAATCATATCTAAAATTATCTCATTAAATTATGCGAGGCAAGTTGATATTTTAGACTAAACATATATTTGTGTTGAGATCATGAGTCATTTGAAGCTAGACCACCATGGAAAACCTGGAAGCGCTGGGCGACCGTTTCGTCCTATTGAGGGACTCCTCAGCAATGAGTATCCACGATCCCACAATAGGATGAAACGGCTGTTCAGTGCTCCCAAGTTTTCCATGGTGGTCTAGCTTCAACTAACTCATGATCTCAACCATTGAAATTACTATAATATCCGCAAAACCTTTTCAGACATATTTGTGTCTTCAACAATAAATTTACTTTAATAGTTGAACTCATGAGTTAATCTAAGCTAGGCCACCATTGAAAACCTAGAATTCAACTATTAACGTTACTACAATCTCCACAAACCTCCATTCTGATAATAAATTCATTCACAAAAGTAGTAACTTACAGTATCTACATAAGACTAAGGAAAGTGTCAAATAATATGCTATTTGAATGAATCAAAAACAATTTTACATATACTATACTTCAATAATACTTCATGTTAGAATGACTTGTTAAAGATAACTTAGTAAGTGTGAGTCCAATTGTTGTTTTTTCTCAAATTGCACAAATCGATTGAGTTATAATTATAGTTAATTAATACAACACAACAATTGAAAAAAATAATAATAGGGAATCATTTTTAATGCATTCATACAATAACAAAAAATACATGTTGATCGTTATTTCAAGGCGGTTACAATACGTTGCTTCTGTTCAATAATCTAAGTTAGTTTATGAAAACATTTACTTTGTATTCTAATGATAAAATTAACAGGTAAATTTTACCTACAGTCATGACTAGTAATTTAAACATCGGTAGTTATTTTCGTTCAGTAATACCTAGTTTCATCATTCAGCTTACCAATTTTTTTTCCGTTAATTAACATATTTCTATTTTACACTACCTCTCCCTACCTGAAGTTATTTATTTCGCTTACTTGGTGGTAGTACACTGAAGAATATTTTTAAAATGACTAGACATAAATTTTATGATTAAAATCTTAAGTTATACTGTTTTCCTTGGTAATTTGACAAATCTTCGAACCCATATAAAAAAATCTTAAACTATCAATTACGATATAAGATTGATAAATGTTACAGAGGTTTTACTGATTCAAATCTTGAAACCTTCAATTCTCTGACGGCGTAACTCTTCTAGTTCACTTTCTTCTTCTGAGCTACAGGTAACCTAGCTAACTCTGGTTCAATCATGCTATTGGTTTTGGGTTCATCTTTTTCAAGTTGGTCTTCATCACAAACTCCCAGATCGTAGAGTGTTGGGATCATCCAGAAAATTGCTTGCAAAAGACAAGCAAGCATCAGGAAACACTAAGAAGCGTTTGGTCCAATCAGCGTTCACTTGGAGTCTTGGCCAGAAATATCAAGGAAGCGAAACGTCACATGCAGAGGATCTGATTGGTTGGCTGCTACACTGCTACTATGTTTAGTAGCATTCCAAAATATTCCAGCGACCCAAGGACATTTGAAATATTATAAAAACCCTATATTTTCCGTATTAAAGTGAACCTTGGGTTAAACTACTTCTCGCATACTTTGAGTCTTCTCTCTCGTGTTCAGGTCGCTGTATATTTCTAGCTTGGGGGTTACAGAATAGCTTAGGAGACGAATATAGCGTTCAAATCTGCAAGACTTATCATAGAGTGATAATTCTGGAATCTCATCGGAATCGTAGTACTTATTGTCAGCCATTTCAGTAGATATATCGAATTCACTATAGGATTTATTGTAGGATTTAATTTGTCCTATAAATATACTACTAGAACTGTAGACGCGATAATCGCGATTACAGAGTCTATGTGAAAATATAGTCAGAACAAGAACAACTTGACTTTAAATATTATGTTTCTAAACGTAAAAACGATTAGGTTAGTACAGTAATTAAAGGAATTACAGTTATTAGGCGAAACGCATAAACATACCGACCAACATTGCGTGTCTTATCGAAATGAATAAAAATCATGAGTCACACTAATATAATAATAAGGTAATAATGTCTTTCAATCGGTAGGTCACATGCAATAGGAATAGTTTACAGACACATCAGACCAGATTAATATGGTGGGAGCTTAACGATCTGATTGGTTAGTTATGAACATAACTAACACTTCGAAGGTCTCGTTCAGGTTACCTGTTTGATCTTCAGCGGATGCATAAGTAAATTGTTACAATTAGATTTATTCTGTCAATAATCAGTTCGGCTTTTCACTAAGTTGCATGCTGACTAACGGGAAAGCTAAAACCAGTTCGTCAATGATTAGCTGCACATAAATTAAAAGATTTATCCCAGTTTCAGACTGAACAAATCATATAAACATCTATGATAATTTCATGATTTATTCTGACGTAAAACTTGTTTTATAAAGTATTATATATTTAATCCATAATCAAGATCTTTCTGTATTCCGAAATCTTATGTCTACCGAAAATCGTCAAACTGATGGTGTAGCAACGATAAGTCCTTTAGATCTTGTTCTAGTAAGTATTTTCTTCATAGCTAATCTTTTGAAGATCAAGTTCAAAGGACCAACAGAAGAAACGGCATATTACTTGAGGTATCTTGGCAACGTGCTTATCGTATCTAATAATCAGAAATATTCAAAACACATGCTAAAGATTTTCAATAAAAAATAGTGATAAATCCTGTTGTTTTGAAATCCTGGTGCGAAATATGGAAGATTAAATAACTTAACGCTCAATATATCGTAAATATATATGGAGTAGAGCTTATCTAAATGTTACCAGCTTTTGTACATTAAGATAAGTTACTAATTAAAACATCATTCTATAGAACAGAAAGAATCTGTGACGTCAATACACTATGAAAGTAAGAGGTGAAAAATTAAAAAGTGTCTACAGAAAAACATGTAACCACAAAAAGTTCCTGTTAAATACAGAAGAACCTAAAGAAACTACCGTACTATAATTCGAAGTCAATAGTGTTGAATAATAAGTCAGTTGAAGATTAAAAACTAAATTAATCAAGACATGTTCTAGATCCAAACTAATCGTCTAGTACAAGACATGTTCGTCGAGGCAAATTATCATTACCGTTCATGTTATCTCCAACTGTATATAAGTTTAAATGTACCTATCAAAGAAGTTATTTTGAGAGAATAAAAAGAAGGACCTGAGTCAGCCTATATGGATTTATTTCAAACAGAATAAAAATTTTACTAAACTCTGTTTTAAAACACCTATTTGGTACAACCCATCAGATTGACACTTTAGAATCTTTCAATGTGATTCATATTCAATAAGTTTCATAAAATTTGCTCGATATATGATCATAATGATGTCTATCATGAAATAAATGAATGGTTTCGAAAAATTTTTCAGTGAATCATTTGATCTCTTATAGTTCACATTTTACCTTTACATGATCCGATTGCATCTGTTTTTGTTTTTGTATTTTAAAAACAAGCCGGAACTAATAGCGCTTTTGTTTATTACCATAAACATAGTCTGGAAATTCGTATAATTCTAGTATAAAAATCACATTTATTATATAGACACTTACAAAACTACTGAGATTCCTAATCTTTGTTCAATTCACCGCTCATTTACTTATTGTATTACTAACGGACGAAAAATACAGGTTTATTGAATCTAACAACATGAATTATTGAATTCATATGAATAAGCTCACGTGAACTATCATGTTTGTGAAATATACATGTATATACCTACATTTATGCATTGTTACTTATCATTAAGAATATCCAGGCTTCAAATTACGTTGTTTACATTCATACAATATTTAATAGACAACAAACAAACTAGAAACTGAGAAAACCTTTTATTATTCCATTCAAACATTCTCACTACTTTACATATTATTTGTACGAGATAACAAACAAACAAAGTAACAAAATTGTACAACATTTCCCAATTCTTTTTCTATCAACATGCTGAAATGTGATAGTATTTGGAATTTAAGAAATAAATTTCTAATATTATTAGCCATGTTACTTATTCCTTTGTATATATCACTGGAATTATGTTTTTTTATTTCTGATCAGTATGTATTTTACAGGTAAGTCATTTAGGTTATTTATTTTTTAATAATTGGATTGTTTGAAGTTAAACATTAACACCATCGGATGCCGGCTCACTGGTCTAATGGTTAAGTGCTCGCGCGCGTAACCATCAGGTCCTGGGTTCGAATCTCGTGAGTGGCAGTGGATGCGCACTGCTGAGGTGTCCCATACTAGGAAGGAACGGTCATCCAGTGATTCCAGGTCTTCCAAGGTGATTTAGCTTCAATGGACTCATTATTTCAGCTATTGAGATTAAGTTGGTTATTAATATTTTCGAAGTTCACTTAACGAATAAAAAATATCGTTTTCATTGAAGATACCAGTTGATAAATGCTCTTCCATATCAAATTAAATAATAGACGAAACATTTGAGGCAATGATTACCTTGTTAATCCTTGTTTTTTTAGTTTTTACACTGACAATTTGGACCAATGCACATATGTGCCTGGTCCTACGTTGTAGCTTACTGGCTGACTAACTGTCTGGAAAACAATTTTAAGTCAGATACATAATTTATTTATTAAGGCGCATGTGCCATTTTAGAACATCATCTAGAGATTAATTGGATATGACCTTATAATATTATTTAGTTTTCTAAATTGTATTCATCATATTTAAACCATTCATTTAAATGATCTTACACCGAAAACAAATACGTATATGATTGTTTAAATTACGTGTTTGCCTTATATCTGGCTATCTTTGTTTTGGAACATTAGTTTGGATTTAGAATAACAGAACCTGGTGGTAACTTATTGAAAAGTATATACTTCCTTCGTCCGTCTACCTACTAGTTTAATATTCATCTCACAGAAGTTTTGTATAGCTAAAATACATCATTTACTTTAACATATGATGAATAAAATGAATCATAATACCAGTTTAACAAGATATTGAAAAAGCGATTATGTTCTTAGTTTGATTAAGAGATGACAGAAACGATCTACTGGATTTAATTTTTAACTACTATCAATCATTAATAATAATCAATTACTCATTACCTCAATGTTTCATATCTTTGATTTATTGTATAGATATATTTATATTTCCGACCAACCCTACACTGTCAGATATTGCAAATTTATGGAATTACTTATGTATTAAACAAATTATGTGGTACTTATTAAATTTTATATTTTGGCTAGCAGAATAAACAATTTGACTATAATATACTCTGAATACTGTGACAAAAGTCACTCTTAACTTTTATTCTCCGATTTTAAATGATAATTTAGTTCTGTTTCTCTCATGTTTGAATACCCGTAGTCTTATCATCTCTCCTGTTCTACTCATTTTGTTATTTGTCGCTCCTGACGATCCATTAAATTCACAGTGATGTCTAATAGATGTCGAACTTAACCTACAGTAGTTCATTTGATAATCCGTTAATTTCTGATGTCCTAAACTTCGTTTGACCAAATAAACAAACCTTTTATTTAAAATAATTTTTCGACGGAAAGTCTCAATGTATAGTGTCAGTTTCAGTTTAGAAGAGCAGAAGGCTTGAAGCCTTATGTTAGTCAATTTTGTTTTGTAAGTCCTATTTTCTTAACGTGTCTATAAATTTAGAGCTTTAAAAATGAATGGAATAATTGAATTCTCCTTGAATATGCAAATGACAGTACCGTCAAAACATCTGTAAAGACATACTGATATACAAACTAGATTGACCGGCATATACCTCACTAAAATATACTCCATATTATAAAATTTCCAATTAGAAACCCAATTAAAGTTTGTTCCAAATATAAAGATAAAGCATTTATTTCTATTAATATTTAGATGTGCGATAGACGAAGGTTTATCATATGACGTAAAAGATGGGAAATTTGAATTGATCGCAAGGTGAGCTGCATTATTTGAGTTCTCTGTAAAAATCAAAGTTTACCGACGTTTTTAACAGATAAGACTAGACTTGAGTCTGCATGTTATAAATATCTTCGTTTAGATAATGATAGTAAAAAACACAATAACTTTCAACTAGAAATAATTTATGTATACGATTTCAGCCCAATGATTTACCGGATCACATTTATGACATGTATGTATATCCATGCAAAATGTCTGATTTATTAGTCTTTTCTGGATATGTTGTTTTGAAACTGATTAGAATATCTAACTCAATATATAAATATTCACGGAAATGATTTGCATCTCTTATTTATATTACTAATTAGTATACTCATGCCTTTCTTTGTGGTTGAAACGTTTTTGCTATTATTTTAGTAAATATTGCAGTGGTGGTGAATATAGCAATAAACTTCGATTTCCTCATTGTTTTTTTCTCTTTCAGCAATGAATCAGATAAACTTTTACTTAAGGAAGGGCAACGTAGAGCTGCTTGGATTGGTGCATGCAATCATTCAGTAAGATTATTATTTGGTTTATTGACAACAATGATAATTGGTTACATATCTGACCATTTCGGCCGTCGTTTGTCATTAGGTATCATGATCATCGGAGAAGCATTACAAATAATCACACTGAGTAGGTGTTTTTATCAAACCATTCCATAACTTTGTATAAGATGTAACAAACTGTTTGACTAAACAATAAACTGTCCATTGAGAAAAATGAACACAAGCTTACTGACTTTGACTTTTGTCTGTCAAAATAATACGTAACATCATTTTGATGTTTTGAATATATGACCTTCCAAAATTGGATTCCAGAAGGAAATCGTCATTTGAATGTTTCCTCACTGGTGAATTTTACGGTTTTTCACTAACGCTTTCTATTGACAAAATGAAGTATATTTTGTTCGACAATTCAGTTCTAAAACTTTCATTCAAACAAATAAAACTGAGTTTTAATGAAAAGCAATGAGTAGTAGAATTTAGTTATATCAAATGTGATTCAGTCAATCATAAAGTATAATGGAAGATGGTTATGAATATTGAAAGTTGATTAAAGTTAAGTATACAAACCATCGGGTCGCACCTTGCTGGTCTAAGTGCTAAGCGTTTGCGTGTAAAACCAAAGGTCTTGGGTCTATTTCTATGTGGTTGCCTCATACTGCTTAAGAGTCTTATACTAAAGTAAATCAGATGCTTGCTGTCTCACAGTTACCATTGATTGTCGAACACAGATCTATGCTTGATGTAAATTATGAAATAATATTGACTTTACCATTGATTACTAACATTTCTAAAAGATAAACTGTGTTATTAGCCATTCGGTTTTTATCTATTAGCTTACTACAATATCATTTCTGATAAATAAATATCACATATTTAATAACGTTAAGTCGTGTCACACAAAATTCATAAAAATACCTAAGTATCACTACTACATATCTATATATACTACTTGTCTACAAAAATCTGATTTTACATAAACTTGATTGAGTAAAAGCGTATTTTTATCATTTTATTAATCTATAAACATATTACCGATTAATAGGTGTGGTTGTTCTCCTCCAAGCTAATCCATGGTTAACAATTATCCCTGGTTTATTCGATGGATTTATAGGAGGTGGTTTGTTATCGATCCAAGCACAAGTTTCAGCATCATTAACGGATTTAGTGTGTAAAGAATCAATAGATAATAATGATGTAACAAATAGTCAATTAACTAATCAAAATAATTTATGGACTTTATTCACTTGGTTCGATGGACTTGCTTTAATTAGTTTATCACTTTCAAATCCTATAGGAGGTGAGCAAATCCGTTGTATTTACAACTTTGGTATAGAAAATATAATAATAAAATTTTAGAAACTATTTCGTTATACAATTTTTTTAACGAGTGTTATGCGATATCATATTCATTTGAACTGAAAATGTCTTTTTGATATTTTCTGTAATTTAAAAGACATTTTAGGATAATATGATGATAGTGTAATGAACGAGAACACAAATAGGGATAATCAATGTATTCGAACACAAGATTACAGAATCTTTTATTAAAACCTCAGAACTATGTAGTAAATACTTTATTTGCGAAATGTCAATCAGTTGTCTCAGACCTGACTGATTCTTCTGTTCCACATCAATCACTTTCTGTTCTCATTCCTTTTTCTCCGATCTTCTTAACCTTCTGCCTCCAGATATTTCACTTTTGATTGATAATACATACTAATTATATCTATCGACATCAATAGCACACCCCACGGTAGTATGACAATATCCAATAATTAATTTGTTTGATTTATCTAAGTATTTTTAAGACGATTAGTAAACTAATCGTTAATGAGTTAACGTGAAAGATAAAATACATACTCTGGTCACGAGTGTAATGATATATTACTCACTATAGATGTATTCTATTTTAATCTGCTCCAAATGGAAATGAAATACTGTATCTCTCCAAACATAATATCTTGAGATTTTTCTGTTTGCTTCATCAGCTTGAATATAATATACTTTGATTCAAAGTATACAAATACCAAAGTATGCTTAAGACTGGACTCAATTATAGTTTTCGCCTTGATACTCAGCTTATTAATTACACATTGCTCAGTTATTTGAATATATAAAGACTTAGTTATTCTTCAAACGTAAGTATGGATTTTAAAAGAAATGTAAACAAAATTAACAGCACATTGTCACTGATCCAGTATTTTTTTCCCAAACATCTTAAAAAAATAAAACATTTCAAATCCAGTCAACAATAGAATATTTAATTCTTTTAGGCACCCTTCTTTATCGAGGCGGTTTTCAACTACCAGTTATCATCTGTAACATTTTGGTTGGGATTAGTTTATTGATAATATTTTTTCTACCTGAATCCAACATGGGATTTCGTCCGAAATGTTTAAATATAAATAATTTAAATAATGATCAAGATTGTAAAAACGACAGTAGTAATATAGAGATTATCTTTGTACGCAGCAGGAATTTATCATTTTGGGAAGTGAATTGTCAAAATATTCACAACAGTTTCAAGGTAGGTAAATAAGTATTGCCATAAATAACTTAATGATCGTTTATTTTACTCGTTTTAAACTTTTGCAATTTAGAAGATAATATATTACTTGATTAATTATTGAGTTATTGTGTTTAAGGAAATCAGAACAATATTAAAATTATAGTGTTTGGGAAAAATGGAATGATAGATTGATTACTAATCCAATTACTTACGGCTGTTACACCTGTTGCAGTAACATAGGCAATCGACCAGCATTCTCCATTCAGCTCTGCCCCAAGTAATTCTTCCTAATTTCTTCAGTTACTATTACACCTTTTTTCATATCTGATTCCAATTTTCAGCTCAATGTGTTCTTTGATCTTTCACTTTTTCGTTTCTGTTCACGATTACAAATCAGAGCTCGCTTCGTTATGCAGTTTGATGATCATATCCACTTCCATCGACCTTTACTGGAATCTGGTTTGTCCTCTCGCACAGCAGGCTGTTGCTAATGGTATCTAGCCAACGGACATTAAGTATATTAAGTAGACAAATGTTTATAAATACTTGTAACTTTTTGATGATGGTTGTGATAGTTCTCGGGGTTTCAGCTCCGTATAGTAGAACTGTCTTCACGTTCGTATTGAAGATTCGAACTTTGATACTAGTTGATATACAGTTGTTCTTGGTTCCGCTTGTTCTTCAGCAGTGGGAACGCGGTCCTGGCTTTGTCAATCCTTGCGTCTACGTGTCTGTAGGTCTTCTAGGGTTAATTCCCTTCCCAAGATCTGGTTAAAGTGGAGGTTTGAGCACGGGGTCAGCAACACCATCCTGTAAAAAACAACTTTGTTAAAGAGCGCTAGCCGGAATACAACACTTACATTGTACAAATACATATTTGAAGCATTACGAATTTTTTTGAGCTCGTTATATTTTTGATGATTTGTTGCTCGCGTAAACAGACTACTATCACCACATAAAATACTATTATGGTTATTGAAATTTACATCTATTTCTTATTTATTACACTTTGTATGTATCACTTTCCGAATGATCTATTCATCTTTGTTCCAAGCAGCTCCTGTTAGAAAGATTGACCATATGTGTCAACGTGCGATGTGGCATAGTTTTCCGCCTCTACATCTAACATACGATCTGTAGGTTGATTGTATAATATCCATAGTTGACTGGTGTAAGCAGTAAAAACCACTAGATCCTATCTCGTGAGCCAACAAATACCGCGCTCACTCTGAAATTCTGAGGCCTAAATTTTATCCTTGTAAACGGGAATCACTTAGTAGTCATGATTAAGACTACAAAAGCTCTTTAGTGCTCTATGATGTTTCTTATTTTTCCAGATTATGTCAATCTATGATTCGTAATGGTATGCAATAGAATTTCAACAAGTTACTAATACTGACAGATAATTCCCACTTGAATATTCAAAACATAAAGTTCAGAGAAGGGATCTCTTTTCAACGAATTTTAATAAATTCGTACAACCGTATATATATGAAATTTTTTTGTTCCGTGAGGAAATGTGAACATGAATAGCCAAGATGACGTTATAGGAAGATTATAATACTATCTTACCTACACCAATAGATCTCATAACTTAGCAACGAATTATAACATTTTAATCATCTTAATACATTCACGTCACCATTCGTTACTAACTTATTACATCTATTGTTATTATTCGTATTGCGTCATCTAGTATTATAATCTTACTATTGCGTCATCTTGATTATTCATGTTCACATTTCCTCACGGAACTAGTACTTATACATTATATATATATATATATATATATATATATATATATATATATATATATATACTTTATTTAACGTAAACTGGAAGTAATTTTGCACAATTAGTCAATATATTTTAAGAAAACTAAGTTGAAAATATATTGAATCCTTCATAATAAAAGTGTTTATTTACCAATTACTTCCAACCATAAATTCACTACTTGAGTTATAAACTATCGCAAATAAAAGACAGTCGAACACTTCTTGTTAATGTGCTTTTAACCGGCTCTGTAAACTCCTATTAGAGTTTATGTTAATAAACTGATTGCCTGACAAAATTCTTTTGAACTTGTCTATTTATCATATCTTAATAATATTACATTAAGATCTTATAAATATAAAGGTAAATTTGACTAAGTGTGAAAAACACTCCTATTTATCAGAGAATTGTCAATAACATATTGCCTTAACTCACAAGCATTCTAAACAAAGATGGATAGTAGCTAGCAGTGGAATCTAGGATGCGCATTTCACTCCACTCAAGACTCGTCAGCTGGATATACCTGCATCATAGAGTTGATGTTCACTCTGGGACTCGAACCCAGTGCTGTTCGCTTCAAACGTGCTCACGTTATCCACTTAAATCCAAGCAAACAACAAGTGAATTTAAACTTCACCCAGTTGCACAAGCAAGTAGCTATCAGGACTCATTAGCTAAGTGGATAACGTGAAGGCGTTTGAAGTGAATAGTATATGGTTGGAGTCCCGGAATGAGCACTAATTCTGAAATGCAAGTACATCCAGCTGACGAGTCCAAAACAGGACGAAATGCGTATCCTCTATTCCACTACTAACCACTATCCATATTCGCTTAGTTTTTAAAATACAGTTTTCATTAAATCCTTATACAACTTGAAATATTTAATACTTAGAAGGATAATTACATTACACCATCTTCGAAATCCGGATACAAAAACTATTTAACCTCTCTATTTATCAATGTATATTTAAATTATTTACATTAAAGAAGACAAATTACGACAAATTTTTGATCGAATTTGAACTGAGTGAAATAATTTTGTACATGTAAAGGCCTAGGTTTATTTGCATTTATTGATTACTAAATACATAACATTATCAATTTTGTATGTCATTACAGTGAACTTATAAAAGCACAAATATATAATACACTCTAATATTTACAACCATATTGTCATGGAAATAAAATAACTTTGAAAATGAATTCGCCGAAAAGAGAACTTTTCGTTGAACTAATCTTTCTTTCTTATTTAATGTCATAATAGGTGTATTCCGTTTAATAAAAATAACTTTTAACTCTTGGACAAACTGTTTTGTCATGCTTAATCTATTCTCAGTGCAGAAGGATGACCGTCAAACAATATGCTTTTTAGCGAGACTGTAATTGATAGACGAATTAATCATGTATAAGATAACAGGTCTCGGATTTTGGCGCGAAATTCACTCATCCATTTGGCTAAATGGAGTTTTGGCATTATAGCTGATGTCAATTTGTGATGAAAACCCTAAATCTAATTTCTAACCTTAATCATCAACTGTAAATCATAATTCTAATTCCTCACACAGGATTATAACCCTCATTTGGTCTTAGTTATTTGGTGGATACTCTCAAGGTCAATGTAGAGTCGCTCAAAGGTCGTTCATAAATTGTTGTTTCACCATTTTTCTTCTCAACTCCTCAGGATGAAGAAATGATCAGCATGGAAATAATAATTGATTCAATACGGGGTCCAACAGGTGCACTTGCCTGATGATACTCTTTTATGTTTTCTATCGTTTTGTTTTTAACTAAATAAAACTTTATGATCAGTCTTAATTTATTTTAGATTGTGATTAGTCAAGCTAACTTAATCTATAGTGTTTTGTCTATAAAAATGATAATCTGAAAACAGTTTAGATTTTATTAGGATAAAGTCTGTTAGAAGAATTCAAGATTCCATATAATGACTGTTTATGACAAACTTCATTAGAATATTGTATTATGATATATCATATACAGTAAAAAAATTTTATTATTTTCTATTTCTTATTTCATATCCAATAATAAACGCTTTAGATCCTTAGCGGAAAATATAAACAACACATTCTAACTGGACTTATTGTATTTTTGTTATCTACTGTTACATCAACGGATTTGTACATTATATACATATATCTAATGGGATATCCATTTTTATGGAATTCACAGGATGTTGGGATTTATTCGTAAGTTAACGTTTGAAGTTGTTTTTTTGTTGTTGGTGAAATGAACGAATAATTAGATACAGTATCATGGAAATTTTATGACAATAAAAAAATTTGAGGTCAGGTTTTAAGTAGAAGGGTTTTTATTATGTCTAGATAGTAAATACTGCAAAACTCCAATCAGAATAACACTTCAATGGTTTATAAAATCTAAACATTTGTTCATGAAATTTGTATTATATTTTTTTATAGTAATTGTTGAGGATGTTAGATCGCCAGAAATCACTTGGTAAATACCTTATTTTTGTAATTTAATTTTCGAAAAATTCGAATTTCTTCTTTACGCACCAAAAGCACTCATTTTCACTTTCATGTCGTATTTCCCACTTAGGAGGATATTAAATGCTATTGGTTCGTTGTGTCTTTAGGTATGCTATTTTGTAACGCATCCCAAGGACAATTATATGATGTATATAAACGATTGATTTGTGCCTGTTGTGAATGTTCCTGTTTCTGGCTGTTTGGGGAATATATTTCCCCATTTTGATCTTGAACTTCTCTCTCTAGTCAGCGGGGCGTCAGAATAACTAGTTTATTGGTCTTCGATCACAAAGTCTTTGTTCCGTTCTCAGACTAGGTGAACTCGTAATCGCTTCAAACATATCATTAATTGACTGATATCTAATAAATACTTGATAGTTATATACACAAATTACCATAACTAAATTTAACATAAAAGTTATCACTTAAATTATAAAGTAAATTAACCCAAGTTTGAGATTTTATTTTGTAATATTAAAGATTCCCATTGTAAAAATTAGAACAACACATATAAGCGAACGATTGTTTTCAATTAGATCGTCATCAGGCTTTACTCTAATATACATGAATATGTATACGAAAATTTTAAATCAATCAAGGCAATATGAGTCAATAATCACAATGAAATCGAATAAGTCACTACACATAATAGGTAAAAGTACAAGTTGATAGTAGAAAGACAGGTGAACTGATAATAGTGAGAATAATAAAATACAATAACAAAACTCTTATCAATAGTTAATCGTTGGAAATAGAAGGTCAAATAAACATGGGTAAATAGACTAGGAATAGTAATCACAAAACATTAAAATCATTACGTAATAAGATGTGTGTAAATAATTAAATAGTGAGGAATACAAAGAGGCGGAAAATTACAAACAAATAATGGATGTGAAAATAAGGTCAATGATAACACAAATAGAATAAAATGAATAAGGATAATAATAAAATAAAATAAATAAATAAAAAGAATTGTTAGTTAAGTTATAACTGGCCATGGAAGGGATAGGGGGGTCACGTATTTCTTCTGTACACATAAATTGGGGTTATATGTACGAATTCCAATGGCTTCAACTATATATAGGAGACGGGAACGGACTCCGTCGGGAAATGATGGAGGTATACGATAGATAACTCGAAAAGATTTCGATTTATCTACTGCATGACCGCTATCAATAAGATGTGCCAATATAGAACTGCGGATAGATTTTCTCTGGCCCTTTATTTTGTTACAAAATTCTGTTCACTGTGTACATTTGTATGTAAAGATAGTTCATTTTTAATAGGTTGTAACTCATTATTGCTGTTCAAGAAAGAAATTACTATGTATACAAATTCCAAGAAATATACTTCTGAAAGATTTTGTTATTTATAGATAGTATGTCCGAAGATAATACTTTGGATTATAACTACACTGTGGTGAACGAGAGCACAAGTGGTGACAATCAAAAGTTTATGAATGCAAAATTACAGAGCGTCTTAGTAAAATATGAGAACCATACAGTAAATTCTTCATTTGCAAAATATTAGTCATTTATCTCAAACGTGACTGTTCCTTCAGCAAATGTGGATCAATCGTCTCGAACTTCATTGTTCTTGTGTTTCCAATACCAATCATTCTTTGTTCTCTTTCTCATTTCTTTGACCTTCTAGACCTTCCGCCTTCAGGCATTTCCCTTTTGATTGATGATATATATTACTTATATCCATTGACATCAGTAGCATACACCACAATATGCTGTTAATGTTACTCTATTACTCCGTAAATATAAGGTGATTGTTCATATGATTGGTTGTAGATTTAAAAGATTCTTATAGAATTACACAAAACTCTTCAGTATGTCTGGATATCGTTTTATTAGCAGAGAGCTTAGGTGCAGAGGTTCTATGGTTGTTCATCGACAGTATGCAAAAAGTGCATATAGAAAGAAACATATCATATATTTTATTTGAAAAACTGTTGCTGATGATGCAAAACGTGTATAGTAATACTGTTTTTATAATGGAGAAACTACCGTAAGTTATTATATGCAATCAAATTGTGAATTAAAAAAAGACTCAAATTGATTCACTGTTTTTAACATGAGATTTATAACTATCTCTATTAACCATTTATGAGATTTGTTATGAGCCACATATTTTTAGGCATTTCAATTTAGGATAGTCAAAACACAATCCATGCAAGGTTGGACTTGATAGTCGCAAATAAATTGAGTATTGGGTAGAAAGTTAATAATAAATATGTATTTTTTTGTTATATGCCTATTAGTAGGAAAAATTATATTTTTGACGTTTCGTAACTTAATATAAGCCACTTCTTTACTTTGAAGTGGCTTAAATTATGCATATAATATTAACAATTCATCCAGTTTAGTTTGCTCATTTTGTGTGGATTAGGCAAGTGTTTCTAAGTTTATGAGATTGTGTATGTAATGATAGCTCAACAATATACACATATATATTTATTATTATCCCATAGTACATGGTTTGAACTTTAGCTTTAAGTAGTTGGGCATCAGACTCTACAAAGATAAGTAATTAATCCTGACAAACATTTTTATGTACAGACAATCTAAATACATATTCTTCTGTGTTTCTGGAACATGGAACTTTAACTAATGTTTCTGCATAATATGTATTTTACTCATAATACCATTGATAACACTAGGAAGTTAAATAGATGGATAATATTATAGTGACTTATGATTACAGGATCGTTGTGAAAATATTCGTTTCAGTTTTCAACAGTTAATCAATCAGTACAGTGTTCTATTTCATTGTCAAATCATATGTAAGTTAATTTATCTTGTGGAATAAATTCATTACAAAAATACTTCACTAAATATCAATGTGAAAATGCAATCCAACTTATTACAGAGCATACAATATAGTTATGTGAATTTTCTTAATTATGTTAGTAAATCATAATCTCATTATTTTGTATCATACTACTTAATTATACTTAATTGTTCAACAAATATATTTTCATTCAAATGTATTACTATTATTTTCAGTGGTGTAACTGATATAGTTTCTGCAATCTTTGCACTTATTTTCACACTTTTAATGGCTCGAATCATACATAGACCAATATCAAAATCAAATCATTCAATCTCTCAGAATATATCTGATACAAATGATAATTATAAACAATTTCATAAAGTTAAATGTCAATCTGTCAATTTCCTTTTAAAAATATTAATTTTCAGTATTTTCATGATGTTTATGAACCGAATTATACTTGGTATTTCACATCTGTTTACTACATTTACAGCTAATACTTTAGTTTATATCGGTAATTATTTCTTATTTATGAAAGTGAAATTGTATTGTTTATATAATTAATTTTATTCTGCTTAATTCAATTTATTATTTGCATTTTGATGTGACACTAGAGGTGTATATGTCTGAAATACAAGTAAATATTGTCTACCTTTGGAAATTGTAAGATCAATGTGCATATGTAGTGTCTATGATTCTCAACACTGGACGGCCGTTTTATCCTAGTATGAGACTCCTCATCAGTGCACATATAAGATCCTGCACGCTGACCTCGAACTCAGGACCTTCATTCTCACGTATGAACGCTTAACCTCTAGACAACCTGCACAAATCTTAATTCTGGCAAAAATAAAGTATTCAAGAAAAGTAACATAACCGTGAGTTTGACATCAGATGACTGTTCATTAGTTACAGATAAAACGTAAAGCTAAAGAATCATTAATGGACCGTCACTTACTTCTATCTCGTTAAAAACGTAAGCCATTGAATAATCGACACGTTCTTGGATGTCATCCACGAAATTATTTCGGGATTTATAATTCAGGTGGACAATATTCAATAAAAGTAGGATACACTGACAGCCTTAAAAGACTTACTAACTAATCAGTAAACGTTTACTAGGAATAAAATAATTAACAATAAAAAAACAAATAATAGCGAGATAATAGCTTTGATAGAAATAATCTTGAATTATTTATTGCAGTAAAAGCGAAAAGCTAAGTCCATATATAAGGAGTCGAGGGAGGGCTGTGAGTTAGTGCCCTAGTTTTCACCATTAACTGACAACAGCTATCATGCTAAAGTTTAAGGATAAGAAGTGAGATTCACTCTGTAGTTTTGAATCACGTTTACAAATTAGGGTTATCGTTTTCATTATCAAATGACATCAGCTATGATCAACTGATCTGAAACCCTCCTATTTACAAACTGAAGAAAATTAAGGTTGATATCTAGAGGAAAAGTTAGAAAGGGTAAATACTTTGAAGCTCCATTAAACACTCAATTACGCATTGCGTATTATCAAGTTTTTTAATACCTAATCTGACATCAAAGCATGTATTTTTCGTAGTTTAGCTTATGTGCCATCTCGAATTCACTTCTAGATGCATAATATGCATTTTTATTAATACCAAGCATTTTAAAAATAAATCATTGCATATTTTCACTTTGTCAGTAATAATATACAAGTTATCGCTCACTCTGCTTCAAATTTCACATAAAATATCTGGGATGTTTTACTTAATACTGATTACGCAACTCAAGGCTATCAGTATATTATACTTATACCCAATATTCCTATGCTATTTTTTGATACAAGTTGAAATGTAAAAGATAAAGCTAAATAGTGTTTGTAATATTTCTAGCTCTACACAAAAATTCCTTACGTCCACCTTAATTCTTTTTTACTTTGTTTTATTCAGCTACCATACCAAGATTTGCTAAAGGGTTGAATAATCCAATACTAAGAACCCTTATATCCATGTGGACTGACCAATTAAAGCAGGGTAAGTGATTGATGATACAAATATTATAACATTATTTCAATGTAATTGATTTATTGCCTTAAATGAAGTTTATTATACTGAATAGCATTGATTTAAGAATACTGATAACATTTAGTTCTTTAGGGAAAAAATTCATTTATACACGAATCTGAATCTGTGAACGTTTTTAGCCTGATCTAATCTAAGAAATGATTCATATCTGAACTTTAATGGATAAGTAAAACCTATTCACATTAGAGAAACATTTGATCTGATCCAGTTTCCTTTTGTTATATATATATATATATATATATATATATATATATACTTTATTCTGGTTTATACAAGTTTCTGAGGCTTTGGTACTTTATTGAAAACTCTGAATTAGAGAAAGTTAGTTGGTTAAAAGCGGTTACTTCTTTGTAGTCTGTATAATGTAAAATTTACAAAGTGAAGACTATTAAAAAATGATCAATTCAGTTTCGTCTGTATGACGAGAGGAGCCATTAAAGAAAAAGAAATATATAGTAATAGCACGAAAAGAACCCTACAGGTTTTTGGACAGTTTTAGGGATTTTAACTACAGTTTCCGTTAAACCTAATGTGAACCATTTAATTGAATTGAATCAATTTTTATATAAGAATATATTTTATACAATCAGTTTATATTCTGACTATAAATTTACGATTTCCACTTGAATTATTTATAATGTATTCAGTTTTTATAAGCCATAGTTCATACTACAATAAATCATTAATATTAATGTCTCGGATTAAGATCACTATATATATTTCTCCCATTTAGTATGAACCTCTTTCCCTAATTTTAACATTCACGAACCTCATTAAGAAGAGCATTCATACTGTTCAAAATCTTTATTGTAGGTTTATAAACATCAGTTATATTCGTAAAGTGAATACATTGTTTGTAGTATAATTTTGGTGAATATATAAAAAGTAAAATATTCTTAATATACAAATGATAAATTGATTATACAGATAGTCAGACGCATTTGTTATTGTTTACGTTAAAAAAAAAGCACAAAAACATAGTCAGTTTAATGCCTAGCATTATGTTTCATGTATACAAACGTAAAATAAACTTCATAACATTGTGGTATCTTAGTTTTTTACAGTTTTGTCATTCTTGTCTAGTATTATGGGATATTAAAATAGTTTATATAGGGAGACACGAAAACGAATAATCTAAATAAGTTCCATGAGATGTACCGAATTTATTTTAAATAGATCCAATTTGTTTAATGGTAATTATGACAAAGTATAGGAAAGTCAGATATCTAATGTAGAGAACTTTATATGGTTTGTATATTTTTTGATAGTTCCCAATGTGTTTTTTTTATTTGGAAAGCGTATATTTCATCAATTTCTCATAATAACTTTACGTAACTCAAATAATTATGATGTTCCATTATTCAATTACCTCTGTGTTTTTCTTTTCATTTAAACAGGTATGATACATTCATTTGTGGCGTTTGTATCACGATTGGGTGTACTTATTTGTTTTTCTGTCTTAATTTTAATCTATTCTTCAACAACTCATTTATTCCCTGGTACAGTATTTTTGGTCTGTTCTAGTTTGATAATTATTGCACTGATAACAACTGGGTATGTTATTTATGTAGATTTTATTCAATGAAAATCAATTACTGATTTATTTATTTTACGATTTTTTTTTCTTTCGCAATCCTAAAACATAAAAGGATTTCAGAGAAAATACTTCACAAAAGTAAAGATTCTCAGGGTATACTTCAAATGTAATAAAATTATCTAAGAATTATGGGTTCAATCTGCTTA